TTTTATATTTGAAAATAGTATACTAAATAAAACACATGTTGTAACATCGGTGGAATGGAATGAAAACACCACGTAGCGATCGCAGTGTTATGGTTGATAGGATTTTTGATACATACACAAAGTGTGGATAAAAACATCTAAAAATACTTGTAAAAGTACTTGTAAAAGTGCAATGTAATTGTACTATAATACTTCAGGGATTATTAAAAACTAATTATATTTAAAACTAATTCTTAATTTATTATTGAAACAAAGATATTGAAGTTGTGACTTGAAATAATAAAAAAAACTAATTAAAAACAATTTTAAAGAAATCGGCAAAAGTAAAATAAACTAAAAGACAATGGTTTGGAAAATCAATTTAAAGTGCACTTGGGTTCCGTTATCACCTTAATAAATCCTACATTGTTCTCCCATTTACTTATAAATTACCCATGCATATATTAATGGTTAGGTTTTCCTAAAGTATGCTTTACTTGAACCTACAATCTAGAATGTAATATCAAACTTGGAATCTGTCCGGACATCCGGATCAAATGTGGGCATGAAAGACTCATTAAGCTTTATGAAAATCCTTTGAAAAATCATGTAATCCTTTAGATGTGGTGTTCGCCTTAAATGAACTTACAATTATTAACCACAAGAAGCCATAGTCAAGTTCAGGAACTTTCTGACGAAAATTATATCAAATTAATTTTCTAAATATTCTAATGGTGATCAAACATTAAGACACAAAGATAGTTTAAACACAGTGATTAACAATTCAAAACATACATGCATAATATAATAAGTGAATTCAAAACAAACTAAATAAGGCTGGTGGCCTCACCCTAACAAAAGAAAGTTAGTTACGCATATTCATAACTAAGAAATCACAATATTATACCTTATGTTTTAAACATTGCAATATCATACCTCAACTTATGAATTCGTTGCAATGTCAGACCTCCGTTAAATTTTCTTTCAAATTGGCTGTTAAATGATGATGTGGCAAAAATGGGGCCCACTCATTTGCCACCTTGAATAAATAATCAATTAATTAATAATAAATTACTAATTCTTATTTAACAATTAAACTTATTTTTTTTTTCACAAAAAAAAAAAAAAAAAAAAAAAAAAAAAAAAAAAACTCTCTTCATTTCCCCAGAAATCGTCTCCTCCACCTACTCCCTCCTCCGTCCCCCTTCTTCCTCCTTCGTCCCCTTCACTCCCCCATTTGTCTCCCTTCTTCCTTGTCCTCATTCGTCCCCCTTCTTTCTCGTCCATCCACCACCTTCGAGTCCACCGATTCGGACCAGCGAGTGTTAGAGTAAATGTAGAAATATAGAGAATAATCTAAATGATGACTTTGAGGTACGACTTGGATCGTTTCCTTAAAGTATTATTTGCCCCCACTCGAATGAGTTTGCTAAAGGGTTCTTAGCAAGTCACTTCCAGGATACAATAAAGTATGAAATATTCGATTAGCAAAACCGAATTGTATTTCCTTCGAAATAACTAGAAAGAAATTGTATGAATGTGATGGAGAAAGAAGAGAGCAAGGAATGTAGAAACAAATTTCTGAAATTGTGTATGAAACATTATGCCATTGCATGTATTTATAGACATCAAAGTACCCGTTCATCGAGCCCTTTCGTTTTAGTTGAAGATACACAACCCTTCTTAATAGTGTTGACCCAAAAGACATGTCTTCTATTTAGAATTTTCAGAAAATAAATATTGATTATTTATATCTTTTAATTCTACTCATACAATTTGAGTACGCATCATGTCCTTTAACAAAAGTTGTAGTTCAACCAAAAGATACAAGGTTGAATTAAATCCAACCTTTTGGTACCATCATTTTCGCGCACACATACTACACAATGCAGTACCAATATATATTATATATATTATACTCACACACACACACATATATATATATAACATATATATAAGATATAGTATGTTATATGCTAAATGCTTCACTCGAATAGAAGCAACGGTTAGGTAAATACCCAACTTTTCAGCCAACAAATATATGAATATATTCTTGAAATATTCAACAGCAAGTTCATCATATTAGATTGCAACATATTGAATCTGTTTGCCAAGAAAGATCTGGTGTTTTGACTCCCTCTATGGTTCTTATGGAGGTTGCAACGAAATGATCTGGCTACGACGTCGGTGAGCACATACATGTCTTCTTCGACGTCAAAATTGATCCGATTTTCTTTGCCACGGTAGTGGATCGATTAGAATGATGGTTGGGAAAAATTGAATGGTGGTTGATGGAGAATCGGATAGGTTGATGGAGAACCGGACAGACGAAGACGGAAATAAGAATGTGTAAAGGTTGACACACATCAGGGGAGCGAATCTGTAGTAGTGGTGGTCTTGGTATGTGTTACATCCCGACCCGAGCTCCATCACATCCTGGGTTTGATTCCGTCGTAACACGATATTGTCCGCTTTTGGCCCCGACCACGCATTCATGGTTTTGTTTCTGGGAACTCACATGATAACTTCCCAGTGGGTTACCCATCCTGGGATTGCTCTCCTGCGAACTCGCGTAACTTCGAAGTTCCTACGAAATCCGAAGCCAGTAAGCTCCCAAAAGGTCTCATGCTATATGGATGTAGGCATGTACATATAGGGCATAGAGGATCCACTTCCTTGGGCGATGTGGGATCTAACAATCCACCCCCTTAGGGGCCCAACGTCCTCGTCGGCACACTTTCGACCAGAGATTGGCTCTGATACCAAATTGTTACATCCCGACCTAGGCTCTACCACATCCTGGGCTCGACTCCGCCGTAGCATGATATTATCCGCTTTGGGCCCCAACCATGCCCTTACGGTTTTGTTTCTGGGAACTCACACAAGAACTTCCCAGTGGGTCACCCATCCTAGGATTACTCTCGCGTGAACTCGCTTAACTTCGGAGTTCCTACGGAATCTGAAGCCAGTGAATTCTCAAAAAACCGCGTGCTATATGGAGGTAGGCATGTACATATAAGCTATAAAGGATACGCTCTCCTGTGCAATGTGGGATCTAACATTATGAACCCAGAAAAGGGGAAAAAGAAAGGAAAAAAGGTAAGAAAAAGAAAGGAAAAAAGGTAAGAAAAAGAAAAAGAAAAAAAATTGGACTGTAATGAACTTCCATTCTTCAAATAAAATTATGGAGGATTTCGAGTGGCCACTTCTTGAAATTTTTGAAATTTTAATTTCTCTAATTTTTAAATTTAATTTCTATAATTTCTTGAATTTTCTAGGTTTGTATTTATGTTTTTCGTTTTGGGTTTTGTTTTTGTGGGGTTCTTTGATTTGGCTTTCTGGAACTCTCCCTTTGCAAATTTTGTTTGGTGGTTTTTCTTAGAAAAATGGTGAAGAACAAGAAATTGAAGAAATGGCAGTGGGGCGAAAGCCCCAGTCGGTGATGGGATTTGAAGAGATGGAAAATGATAAGGCGATAATGCTCAGTTTTGCGAAATCTTAGTGAACATATGATGAAGAAATCAAATTAGTTTTATGTGAAGACTGTTGGAGCAAGATGATTTGGGTCTGGTTTTGGTTTGCCATCGAAACCCACCGGCGTTTTGAGATCGGCGGTGTATCAGTTGCTCCCGGAGAAGGACGAAAATTAGCTGTGTTTAAGGAGGACGAGGAAGAAGTGGAGCGGAGGAAGGAGTGAGGGGAGGAGGAACAGGGACGATTTCCAGGGAACAAGGAGGAGACCTTTTTTTTTTTTTTTTTTTTTTTTTTTTTAAAGTTAATTTTAATTGTCAAATAAAAATTTAATAATTTGTAATTAATTAATTTTTTATTCAAGTTGGCAAAAGGATGGGTCTCGTTTTTGTCACGTCATCATTTAACAATCAGATTGACAAAAAAAATTAACGAAGGTTTGACATTGCAACGAATTTATAAGTTGAGATATGACATTGCAATGTTTAAAACATGAGGTATGATATTGTGGTTCGACTCATAATTGAGGTAGTTTTTTGTAATTTATCCGAGAAAATATTATTAAAAACAAGGATAGAAAATATCTTGAAACAAGAAAACAAATCATCAAAGCCTAGTCAAGTTCTCAAAATTGATGCGTCGAGAATCCTAATACACAATACACTACATTTATAGTGCTTTATTCCTTATCCACCTAAACAAGGCTTTCTAATAAATCTTGAATAAGTAAAATAATAAACTAAGAAATAAAAGGTTTCCTATTTAAAGTCAAATTCGGACTATAGGTAGAATCAGACTTTGACCAATCAAATCAACTCCAATTTCGTCCAAAATGTTTTTTTTTTTTTTTTTCCAAGTTAAGATGTCCCCAACAATCTTCAGAAGCAACCTTTGTCAAAATATGCTCAAAATGTATCTTTTTAAAGCAAACTTAATTGTTACTCTGTCTCTGCCATAACTGCTTCGGGAGATGATATATTTTTTGTCATACGTTACATCTCATTTCGCCTCAGATGTAGGTATCTTCCTAATTAAGCAACTAATCACTAGTGATATCTTTCCGTACTATTTCACCTTCAGCTGACTTCTCTCAAGTCTCTGTATTTTCATCACCTTCATCCATTATTACGATTCAGAAGATTTATATGAACAGGTTCGATCTTCAAATTCCGTGTTGTTTTTAGGTTAAATGTACTCGTAATGTTGAGCTGTTTGGCCTGATATGAGTAATCTGCTTGATATCATTATTTCGACATCTGGAATTTCATTTCTTACTCTCTTTGTCATTGATTTTTGTAGGTATACTTGTTATTAGTTTTGTTTAAAATTCCATATATAACTCTGTCAGTGTTCGGCATCATGGTTGGTATTTAAATACTGCCTTCAGATCTCTTAAAACTGTAGATTAAAGCTTCTTTCATGTTTAAGCAGGTAAACAACTTGTTATCAAGCCAGAAGTTTTCGTCCAACCATTATTAGTGCCGATTTGGTCAGTGACTTTTTACAAAGAAACAACGACGAAGCCAAATCAACACTTTCTTTACAAATCCATGGCCAACAAATATGACAACAACATTAGCTTGAAGGCCTTGGTGAAAAAGGGGAGCAACAAAGTTATCTTCATAGAGTGTGACAATGATTTTGTTGATGTTCTCTTTAGTTTCTTGACCATCCCAATGGGAACAATTATCAGGCTTACTCGTGAACACCCAGCACCCTCGCAAATAGGTTGCCTTAATAATTTGTATGAAAGCGTTGAGAATGTTGATGCACGTCACTTTCCAACTGAAGCATGTAAAGAGATGTTGCTACATCCCCGGGCGGCTGAATCTCATTGCAAGAATCTCAGATTAAAAACTGACAACGGTGAGGCCACTTGGTACTTTTTGTGCTCTGAGGGTTGCACTCGAAGATATAATCCATTTAGTCATTATAAAGGCGTTCTTTGCGAGTGCGGAGAACCCATGGATAGTGAGATCTCCCTTTCAGAACTTTCAGAAGGAAAGTTAAAAAGACCCTCATTTTCAGACGGCGGAGTCTTTTGTAAAGAAGCAACCAGATTTATAATTAGTGATGATTTAGAAGTGATATCTCCATTATATTCAGCAGTCTCTCCTTTCCTTACAACTGTTGGCGTGACGGATGCGAATTCTACTGAGGAGATGACTTTCAATGTAGGAGTTGAAGAGGTAATTTCACTGTAATCCTGCTATGCCAAGCTTTTTCTCTTGCTACAAGTGATTCTGACCCGATATTTATGTTCCAGGTTCTGAATTTGCTTTTACGCTCATTTGTTTCCAAGACACCATTTACAGATGCTCTGTTAAAGCGTAAACCAGAACAAAACTTAGCAGTACCAATGATAAGCAAGATATACGCTTTAAAAAGCAAATGGCAGGAGAGATGGCGAATGACGGAAGAATCATTTCTGTTAAGCTTATGGTTAGTAAATCTAAGAACATGGTTTGTTATGCAGAAGCTGGGGAGGATTTTGTTAATCTACTCTTCAGTTTCCTAACTGTTCCACTTGGAGAAATGCTGGATAGCTCTTCCTCTTCGAAAGGCTGCATTGATCAATTGTACAAGAGTGTCCAGGATCTTGATGAGCAATACTTGAAGTCAAATTACCACAAGAAAATTCTACTCACTCCTAAAATGTATCCCGGTTTTTGCTATGACAACCATCTTTTAGGAGTCGAGGATGCCCTGGAGGCTTCATACCATTATGCGCGTCACCGGGCAGGTGATTCTTTCGAGGAAATATTGACTACTGATAAAACCCTTATCCCATCATCTGCAACGACTCTACCTACAGTGCCACTCAAATTCAAGTACTGCAAAAATCAAGGTGATTTAAGTGCTCGAGGATTTTTAAATGGACCGACGATGTTTACCATAACTGACAGTCTTGTCATAAGGCCTATATCTCCTCTGTTTGGAATTTCTGTTCTGAACGAAATGAAGGTGCCGTTCTCCGATATTGAGGTGCAAAATGTGAAGGTTGGCAGGGAGGAGGTTAGTTATTATTTTTACAGTTCAATTTAACTTTTGAGTCCTCAACATTTGGTTACGCTTCCATTTAACAACTCATGCATCTTCCGTGCTTGTATTTTTCCAGCTTCAAGTATATGTCTCGTTGTTTTAACAATTGACGTCTCCTGTATTGTTACTTGCTGCAGGCCTTATTTCTTTCGGTGACATCTTTTCGATGCGATTCAGCTCTCACCCACGTATTCCTTAGCCATAAACGAAGGATTGATTTTTATAAGATTGTTGATAATTAATGCATGTGTCTAGGTTTGCTAATATGATATGAGGCGATGCTTGTGTCGCTAGACTCGCTACAAACTCGAACAAAAGCCAATATGTTAATTGGTTCGTGGTATTAAGAACAGCTTGCTCATATTGTCCTCCTTTTTTTAGCATTGTTGTTAAATTAAAAGATAGGACTTTGTTCCTTGGTTTTGCTTCTTTTCTTTTAATTTCCCTTGTGTCGATCAGTTGTTTCGGTTATTTTCTGCTGGGTAATTGCAAGAACAACATTTATAGCACTGAAACATCATCATCATAACATTCTGAGTAAATGATATTGTTAACACTCAAAATTGTAAAAGTCAAACCCGAACGAATCCGGGTGAATGTTCATTGATTTTGAACGAAACAATCAAATATACTAAATTATTGGTGGGCTTGGGACATGAACTATAAAATACTGGGTTAAAAATAAAAACAATGATATATAGTGGTTCACCTATAACGGAGCTACATTCACTATAGTCTGTCGGTTAGCATGGTGAAGCCGTGGAGCATAATCCCCCTTTTCACCCCCAACCACTCCCTCTCTCTCTCTCTCTCTCCACTCTCTTCCCCCTTATATAAACAAAGTCATCCTCCTAAGACCATCTCCAATCATTGGGCTAAAACCTAAAATTTTTAACCCATAAAATTTAGGTTTTAGCTCAAAAACAGTTTTTCTACTTCAATCCTTTTAGCCCAAATTTTTTAGCCTGAGATTATTAAAGAATAAATTTAGGCTAATTTTTTATCTTAAAGTAATTTAAAAAAAATTATGTACATTATCATAATTTAATTTTATGAATATTTTAACCTAAAAATGTCTAAATTCCGATAAATATTGAAAAATACTAAATTTGGGTGAATTTTGAGTTAAATAATTTTTTTTATTTATTTTAGCCGTTGAATTTAAATTTGGGCCGTTAGATTTTTTTTTTTTTTTTACCGTTAAATTTGATTATATTCGATCTTAGCCATTGGATTCAATAAATCCTGGAAGACATGCTCATGTAGATAGGGTCTCGCTGGTTGTGCCCACACCATTTTCTGGGCTAAATCCCAAGGAGAATTTGGCTTTTTTTTTTTTTGGCTTTTAGCTTTTTAACCCACACATTTAGCATAAGTTAGGTTGGGTTTGGGGAGAGAATAAAACCTAAAAAATAGCATTTAACCCAAGATTGGGTTTTGTCTAAGGAAGGTCAAAGGTGTGGTCACAAACAAGGTGATGTGGGACCTTCCTAACACTCAATTAAATATACAAACTAACAAATATTTAGTTTTGGTCAACATGCCTTTATGTAGTGACCGTCTGTAGAGCATACTTTTGCCTAGCACATCCAATTAGCACAACATGCCTAGCACAGTATGCCTAGCCCTTAGCCTAGCACAATATGCCTAGTACTTCGGAGACGGTATATCATGTGCTAAAGAGGTGCCTCCTCTTAACTTCTAAGGTCTTGTTCTTCCATTTTTCCTTTGGGCCTTGGTCTTCTCTTCTTTTCTTGGGCCCTTGTCGAGCCTTCTCTTAGGCCTACACTGTTCTAAGGGCTAAAAATGACCCCATGTTAACGTATATAATATCAAAGACTCTCAAACTTAGTTTTTTGCTTGTCCTCAAGCAAAAGAAAACTCAAAAGAAAAATAAAACTTAACAAACTAGAACCTAACTAAAGCTCGACTAAGATGAAAATTTTCAACTTCAAGTTGCAAGCAAGAGAAAACGTTAAAAATTAGAACATATTTTCAAAAGTTCCTACGAATCCCACCACAAAATCTATCTAAGTTAATTTTAACCAATTAGAAAATAATTCAAGAACTTCTTTGGTATAAAGTGTACTAACAAATTTAAGGAAACTCGATTAAAATCCCTACCTCTCGCCTTCTTTATTTTAATACTCCACACATTCAAACTTGATGCATTTTTTTCTTTTTCCGAAATTTCTCCCTTTTTTCTTTTTCATTTTTTTTTTCTCTCTTTCAATAACAATAGTGGTCATGCAATGCCAGTTCCCTTAAGCTTTCAATCCAACCTATGTAAAGAGCTTTAGATCAATGACTCTCAAACCACAAGGTTTTAGGGCACTAGGTGTCAAAAACCCTAAGGACTTATTAACTCAGGCTGAAAAGGTTACAAAACCAACTAGCCACCCAGCCCCATGCCAAAACTCTATCGTTCGACCTGAGAATCACTACTGATTACACATGACTGATCCGATTACTAAGCAAAGTCTAACTCATGAACTAGTGTTTAAGCAAAACTAAATAGAAAAGATTGTACTGTAGAATTAAACTTCATCTTGTCCAATTGTTCTAACATTTAAAATAAACTATGAGTGTTAACTTAAAAAGAAGGAAAGTTTTTAACTGACACAAAAAAAAAAAAAAAAAAAACAACACACACACACACACACACACACACACAAATGTGCTGGGAGCTGGAGCAGAATTCGTGACCTGTGGGAAACTTGACAGACGGGCGCTGAGCATCTCACACTCCACACGTGCAAACCATTCCGACGGAAACCCTGGAAAAAAAGTTATATAACGGCATTTAGCAGCTCGTTTCCCCAACTTTTCAAATTCTAGCCGTTTGAGAGCCCTCCCTCTTTCAAGAGTCTTCACCTCGAGCCCAGAGCCTCAACTCCCTCATTTCTTTCTCCCTTCTTCCAAGCAAACCCTAAAACCGCAGCTCCTCTCTCCACATTTTCTCAAACCCTAACGTCCGTTTCTGCAAACCAAACCTTAATCTTCCATCATCAACCCATAAGACCTCGCACCCATGGATTTACTGCAACACCAGAAGGGTAGGAGCACCGATCTTGGTGCCGATGCACTCAGAGGTAAACTCCTCACCCTCCCTTACCGATTCATTCACTCAGGTTCACCGATTGAAATATACCATACAAGAAAAAGCGTCAACTCCTTATGATCGTGTTGTTTCTTTTGCAGGGACCTGAGATCTGTAAAAAAAACGACGATGGAAGCACCGGTACATCCCCAAATCGCATTTCAAGGAAAAAAAAAAACCACCACGTAGTTGTCTCCCTTCTAGATCCGTCATTTAAAGGTATAACCCACCGAGCTCTCCTTTTTCGTTCTTGTTCAGTAAGATCAGCAGTTCGAAAATCCATATAAAAATTCATGCACGTTCATTACACTGGAAATCGCAGATCCATAATTTTTGAGAGGTATAAAACCTGAGTTTGATCTGTGTCTCTGTCTTTGACTATGTTATCTATAGAGCCCTAAAGACCCCAATTGAATTCTTGAATGAATTGAATCTGTGAAGTTTGCAAGCCCATGGTATGTTCGGATCCAGCAGGCATCAAGGGCAAATGGACCTGAGTTGCGAGGATTAGATCTACTACATGGAAGGTATAGATTTTCACCGTCCTTCACTGTAAATAACTCATCTGCACATGTATGAATCCGCTGGTGAAATTTTTATTGAACTCTGAGCTAAAGTAGAAATCTGACATATAATGGAAATGAACTCTTGGACCCAACTGGATTAAGCAATGTGGACCCTTGTGCAGTCGGACCCTGAACTTTAGAAAATGTATTAGGAATTTTGAAATGGTATGTGATTAATTCAGGGGGTGGGAGTGAGTGGCTCCGAGTGCAGAAGCTTCATCAGAAATGCCATGGTACGATCTCTAAAAAACCCGCTTGGTAACTGCTATCTGCTGTGACTGCTTAGAAACATGCTTAGGGTTATATCTGCTAGATGAGCATGAATAGGGATGGCCTTAGAAACCTAGTCATGCAATGATAGGTTAGGACCCCATATCCGCTAGTCTGCTTTGAATTTCCGCCTTTAATTTCTGCCATATGGTACTAGCACAACTGCGGTGGTTGATGTCAATGTAGAACTGCTGCTGGATGCAGGATCCAGCCCTATATTATCCGTCTAGGCGGTCTTGTTTGCCTTGCATGTTTTGAAATCAAGATTTATTTTCTGCAAGCAAATATGCATGTTAAAAATTGTAATACAAAGATTTGAAATCTTCAAGTAAAATATGGAAGAGAAATAAATAACAAAAATGTTTTTGGATTTTTCAAAAATTATCACTCTTTTTCAGCTTAAGATTTCGATCCAGTCCCAGCCAACCCGGATACAGCCGAACAGACACTGACAAACGGAACTAGGGTGTCCAATCTAACCAAGTGGGCCAATCGAATCGGAGGTCGAATCGAAGCAGGGTCTAGGCGAGCATCTTAGTAGGTCTAGTCCTTTCTTAAGTTTCAAACGCCTAGGTATTGATTGGGACGGTGACTAGCCGTCATGAACTTTCTAATGCAGGTTTCTTCCTTTTCTTCTCTAATCGTATTTCTCGTAATTCAGTAGACCTTATTAGTTGTAGTCACAGTTAGCTATCAAATACATCAATCTCTCTTATAAAAGACTAATTAGAGGCCTATACAACCAATCTAAACAAAACTGATCAAACTCATCTGGTTGCCTTTATGCATCCTTTGGAGATTATATTCTATTAACACCTGATTAGCTGGTGGTTAAAGTCATAATGCTATTCATAATTTCAGAGCTTCGAATCTGCAGGTACGATGAAACCGTAAATTTCTTCCTAGCTAAGTAATGAATACTTCTTTTTCAAAAGCTAAAGATGGCGGCCCTTTATATGCACCCCCACTCAAAGTGATCCTCTCTTCTTTTCAAAAGCTAAAGCTTGGTTATCTTAATGCACCGCTTCTTCTGTTTCTATAAAATGATTGTACGGATTGCATTATTCATTGTTTGATCGATCTCATCAGTTTGTTTTTTAATTAGAAGGTCACTGTGATGCATCCTTCTGTAAGTTCGTCACTGAACTGCCCTTTTTAGAATTGAGCATCAGTGATGCGATCAATCTCACGGTAATGAAAACGCGAGGACTTTTTGCATTTTCATCACCGAGTGTGACACGCCCCGACCCCGATATTCCCCGAATACCAAGATAGGCACGTGCTGGCCGACACCCGAGGGTGACGAAAGCCATTTATTGAGTGCAAATACTGAAAACAAAGGATAAATAAGGCTTATAAATATGAAAGAATAATGAATATGCAAATAAGGACCGTGTTCAGAGCACACCACTAATCTAGAACACTAAAAGAAAATAATATAAAATTGAATGAACAAAGGAGTGGGTCCTACACCGAGAGGACTCGAAGATGCCGATGCGGAAGTGCCTGGACGTCGGGATTGTATGCCTTGATTCTAAGTCCTGAAGGGGGCGCAAAACAAACATGAGTGGACCAAGTTGATATATATATATATATTAAAACAGTTATCAACATACTAACCCCCAGGTTTTATGAAAACACATATATATAATGATAAACATAGGTTTTCCGAAACCTAGCATGTCGTGCAATGTCTCAAATCATAATTCGCATAAATAATAAACACTAGTGAATGTCCGATATAACTCTTCAGGCCCCATGCCGGCTCCCCGTCTCTGAGCACACAGTCAGAGGAAAATACACTTCAGGCCCCGTGCCGGCTCCCCGTCTCTGAGCAGACAGTCAGAGGAAAACACACTCCAGGCCCTATGCCAACACCAAACCGTCGCCCGGGACGGACCGGATCTATCCCTACGTCCCGTAGCGGAAAGGACCACTAGGTAAGTACAAAACCAGTGAACATACATATATTGAAAATCAACTTCATAGTATAAAGTCATCCATCATCTATACTATAAAGAAGTGTTCTAAACATGTTCTAAATATCATATCGTCATCCATCAGATATTCTATAAGAACATGGGTTATAGGAAAAATAGTAATAATTCAAACTAGCCTCAGTAAGCATATTATCTCAAAACGTTTCATAAAACATACTCATCAAATCATGCTTTTCATGTATGCATTTCTACTATCAAAACATGCATTTTTAGAAGGGGTCCACTCACAGTACTTCGCCGTCGAAAAGCCACGTCATCTAGCGAAGAAGGAAACGCCATCGATAATTGCCCCTAAGCACATAAATGGTACATTTAGTCAAACTCTACTCAAACGGTTGAATTTGGGAAAACGGACATCGGAAACGGGTTCAGGACGTCGAAATTAGCCTAGGGGGGTCCTGCACGAAAACCGAAAAAGTCAACCCCGAGGTCAAAGTCAACGCTGACCGTTGACCGGTCAAAGTCAAAGTCAACGCTGACCGTTGACCGGGTCAACGGTCAACTGGTCACGGGTCAACGGGTCACGGGTCACGGGTCACGGGTCACGGGTCACGGGTCAGGGTCATGGGTCTTGGATTATGGTTTTGGGCTAGGGTAATTGGGTTTTGGGTTAGAGTAAATGGGTTTAGGTAATTGGGTTAGGTTTTAGGTGGGTTGGGTTTGGGCTAGAAGGAAAATGGGTTTGGGTTGGAAACCTCACGGCCCAATGGCCCAATTAAAAAGGGTAATGGGTTTGGGCTTGGCAGGAAAGGCCCAAAGGCCTTGGGTTTGGAGTTCGCCGGATTTCCAAGGAGGGAGAAGGCCGGACTTCGGCCGGAGAATTCCCAAGCTCCGTTGGAGCTCAAAACTTAACCAAAACATGTCATTCAATATACCAAAATGAAGCCCTGAAAGTAAGGAATCGAAATATACCCTTGGTTCCCGTCATTGTGGCCGGAGTTGGCCGGAAAACAGCTTGGATGCCACGGGTGTCCGCCGGAAACTGGGTAAGATTCAAATGAGCATAACTTCTTCAATACTCAATGAAATTAGGTGAAACAAAAAGGAAAGTTGTAGTACTCAGCGAGACGAAGAGATTGATACCTCGCACGCCGGCCAACTCGCCGTGGTTTGGCCGGAAATCGCCTCGAAAGGGGCGGTGCTCGCCGGAAAACTGAGAAATGTCTCCCGAGGTGGTTTCTTCGTGGTTTGACGTCCAAAACACCACCATGGGGTTAGAAAAGAGTTATAGGTGCGGGCTTGGGTGTGTGTGTGTGTGTGTGTGTGTGTTCTTGTCGGACCGAGAGGGAGAGAAAGACAGAGAGAAGAGAGAGTGAAGGAGAGGAGAGAGAGACTTTTCAGAAAAAAAGGAAAAGGAAAGGGAAAGGGAAGGAACCGGGGGACAAAAACAGGGGGTGGGCCCCTTGGGCTCACCAATTAAGGTTCAAAAACAATTTTAAAAAGAAAGGTATCCCCCAAACTTAGTGAAAATACAAAAATACCCATTTTCTTACGTAAATCCCGGGACGGGATGTTACAGAGTGTGAGATCAATTGATCAGTGATTGTATAGAAGCTGAGTCCTTGTTTCATTCTACACAGGTTTTTCAATAGTAGAAGCCACAGACTTTCTCATCCACACTAATTAGAGGCGCATTCAGTGAAAATATACAATGATACCAAGTAATTTTTGCTGGTACCGTCACATTGCCATGTTTTGTTACGAATTCACTCATGTTATAACACATTGGTTAGTAACACAAAATAGTAGTCGTGAGGATGTGAAGGTAAAAGAGTCACATCGGTGAAAGAAAAAAACCTTACAATGACAAGTTGGGCTACTCCTTATATCGCCAATTAGTTTTACAAAACCTCAGCTTTGTTCACGATGTCAGAGCAAGTTGGCTTGCATGTGAAACCCAACGGTCACACGACACGTGCTCTATGTCACCTAATTCGTTCAACCTCAACTTTCTTCACTTGTGTCACCATAAAACTTCTGTACAAGTTTTAGTATCGATATCTTCTTTTAGAGATGCTATTTAACACCTCATTAGCTTTTCAAAAGCAAAAGCCAAAATGCCCCCTTGCAACCGTCTCCCACTTATGTATGACTTTAAGCTGAGCCTGTTCTATAAGTCTTCGTCTTCTCATTACCTTCACCCATCACTTCAGCTTCGCAGTTTTACACAAAAAAGGTAAAGATATTTGATTTTCATATTTTTGAATTTTATTTGTACTTGCAATGTTGATCTGTCTGGACTGGTTCAATCTGCTTGATATGTATTATGTTAATACTGACCTGAAACTTAATTGTTAATTGATATACTGTCTCTGCCATAACTGCTTCTAGAGATCGTATTATTTTTGTTATACGTTCCATCTCATCACTCATAGTATTTCACCTTCAGTTGATGCTTTCTCTCTCGTCTTTGTGTTTTCATCACCTTCATCCATTACTACGACTCAGAAGATTTATACGAAAAGGTTCAATCTTCAAATTCCATGTTTTTTTGTTAAATGTACTCGTAATGTTGAGCTGTTTGGCCCAATATGAGTAATCTGCTTGATTTAGTTATTTTGGATTTTATGAGTTATGTTTTTCTGATGGGTTTGTGAATTTCAAGGCTGAAATTATTTTCTGCTGCAATCCATGGCTAATACATCGGCGGACACCATTAGCTTGAAAGCCTTGGTGGACAAGGAGCGCAACCAGATTATGTTCATAGAGTCAGAAAATGATTTTATTGATGTTGTCTTGAGTTTCTTGACAATCCCCATGGGAACAATTGTCAGGCTGGCACCTAAGCAATCAGTACCTTTAGAAATAGGTTGTATGAAAAATTTGTACGCAAGTGTTGAGAATATGGATGTAAAGCATTTCTGGTCTAAAGCATGTAGAGACATGTTGTTATGTCCCCCGAATGGGGCCGAAGTTCATTGCAAGAACCTCAAACTGAAGATTGACAGTGGTCAGCCCACACAGTACTTTATCTGCGAAAGAAGTGAATGTATAACTTATAGCAGCGGTGTTCTCAGATGTGATTGTTGTGGAGGAAATATGAATAGAAAGACAGAACTTTCAGCGTTTGAAGACAGAGGCATCTTTGTGAAAGGACCAGCCAGACTTATAATTAGTGATGATTTACAATTGATGCCTCCTTTTACCGCGGAAAGTCTTTCTATATTTTCAGAGCTTGGAGTCATGAATGGTAATACTACTGAGGAGGTGACTTTCAATGTCGGATCTGCTGAGGTAACTGAAGTATTGACATGCGCCTTTGTTTTTATTTTTAACAACTTTATCGATCAGTGGGTTTTCTAATCTGTCTTGTGTCTTCTGCTTTTAGGTTTTGAAATTGCTTGTGTGCTCTTTAGTATCAAAGACACCGCTGACAGAAACTCTGCTGAAGAATAAACGAATACGGAAATTGAGCAATGAACATCAAGTAACAGATTTTGAACCTGAAATTGTAGAAGGCACAACAAATACAAACGGAAACATTTCTGTCAAGCTTATAGTGAGCAAATCCAAGAAGATGGTTTGTTATGCAGAAGTTGGGGAGGATTTTGTGAATTTGCTCCTCGGTTTCCTAACTATTCCACTGGGTTTCATTGTAAACAAAATGCGTGATTGCTCATTAAAAGGATGCATTAGTCAGTTGTTCAAGAGTGTCCAAGATCTTGACAATCGCTACATGAAGTCAAACTACCACAAAGAAATACTACTCAGTCCCAAGCTTGCCCCCGGTGTTTGTCATGACAACCAACTCTTAGAAACTGAGGAGGCCACATTTTATTATGCAAGCAACCGTGGCATGCTGTCTACTGATAAAACTCTTCTCAAAACTCTTCTCGCTTCTCCTATTTCAGGTGGGGTTCCGTCTTTCGGAGCAAATACTTTCGGAACAAGTGCTGTTGAAAGTTCAATCAAGTCAATGAAAGTCATGGGTCCCAAATCCTACCAAGATCAAGAAAAAGGAGTTCGAGGCCAAGGATTTTTAGAACCGGCGATGTTCACAGTAACTGACGATTTGATCATACGACCTATATCTCTAATCTTTGGCCTGTCTCTCCTGAATGAATTGAAGGTGCCTTTGACTGACATTGAAGTGAAAATCGTGCATGTGGGGAAAGAGGAGGTATCAATTATAAATTATAATTGTCAATGAAATCTTTACGCGATTTATTTTCACAGACAATATATTCTTTAAGTTGTTGATGGCTCTTGTTTATGTTTCATCTTACAGGCTTTGCATCTTTTGATGGCTTCTCTTGCTTGTGACTCTGCGCTAACCAACGTCTTCATTAGGGAGCCAAAGCAAGAACAACGTTGAAAGCCTGATTATATATATGTTACAAACTGGAACTCTAATTTGTATTTTTGTGTGAGAATACTTGTTCACACTCTTGTTTGTACGTATTTGCTATGTGATCTGCATAGAGTGTTGTCAGCATACTAATATAAGTTCTGGGTTTGAGAACTTGTTTGCAATTCAACGTAAGTGTGTGGGTTTGCCAGCCGAAGATAATCTAGCCTGTCACAAAAATTTTCCAAAAAACTTTTCCTGGAAAATGTGTACAACCATGATGTGATGGGAAATTTTTTTAGGAAAACTAATGAAAAAGGTTTGAAAACTTTGAGTTTTAACGATAAGGACAAAATAAAGGATGAAGTGAATAGTATCAAAATTGATTTTTTTAGTATAAAAATATGGTTTTTCCGTTAAAGTGAATAGTACCGCGGACTTTTCGTTAAAACTCCCAAATTTTTTTCCATGATATGATGTGATACATGCGGAATTCAACTTGTATTAGGAAGAAATCAATAAGCGTCTTGATAATGGAAACAAATATAGACAGCCAGGATGTAATGGAAAACAATTGATCAACTTCCTTGGAGAAGTCAGATCTTGTTTAGCTTAGAACATCTCTAAAGAATATGTCAAAATCCTAAGTGGAATGTCACTGTGCATATTTGACATCAATGTCAAATTTATTTTTAATTTATTTAAATAGTTGATCCCTTATTCCACTAACATTTCAACCAATAAAAAATTTGTTTCAACATTTTTTAATAATTACAATCATTTAAAGCTCTATTTTAATAATAAAATAACATTTGACAATTTCGGTTGGACAAGTACAAAATTTGACATAAGACTTCAAATTGCCACATTAGCCATCAATTGTAATTTGACTCTTATAATTTGACATTTTCTTTGGAAATAGTCTTAACCATTGGAATTCGATTACATACAACATTATTCCATGGTGGAGTCTTAACGAAATTTTTTGTCAGCGCCTATAGCTTGTGCACTGAGAACACAGACTGGCACTTCACATGTGTCATAATACAAATTGAGGGACATTTGAAAATAAAAAACTTCGCTCCCGACTTATAATATGACACGTAGTGTATTAACCCGTGTTTCGAGTACATGGAAAAATCTCTCTATTTTGTGCTCAAAGAGTTAAGTACAAGCAAAATGCTAAAGAGACTCCCTATGAACTCTTCGTCATATCATGTTTTATTACACAATTTCCGTACCAACATTATAAAATATTGTGCAACCTTGTCAGATGACTTTCCCAATTCATGTTAACACAATTTTTGTAATCGTACCCTATTAGTTAAATATTAATAAAAAATGAAACTCTAGGATCATGAAAATATATAAACAATAACTCAGATCTGAAAATATATAAACTCAAATCCAAAAGAAACACACAAATTCGAATATGATGCGGTTTGAAAAGAATCTGGATCATCTTCGTGAGAATCCCAAAAATCCGTAAATCATGTACATTTGTCGTACATTGTGCGATCAAAACTCATTTTAAATTTTTTTTATTTAAAATTGAACACAAACAGTACCTAACAAAATTCTGATTATAAATGAACACGATTTACACGGATCCTGACAAAGAGGATCATGTTGGTTTTGAAAAAACCCATATCTGATGCACTTACAATCTCTTCTAACCAATTCCTCGTACACTTCTACCCTCTTAAATTCCAACGAAAAAGTTCAAAACTCTGCAATATAAACTCACCACCTTCAAATAATTCACATAAAAACGGGGGAACTTTGGAAAAATAGCCCAAATTTGGATCATGTATAGAATTTTAACCAACTAATATAATTATTTATAATTCTAACCAAAGCTTGACATGAAAATACTACAATACCCTTTGTTAACTAACATAATTACAATGCTCACCCAGCTTACACAACCACCACCACAATTTGTAAAACCTGTAATCCGCCCTTTCTGAGCTATAAGTGGAATAAAATGGTGAAGACCCACAAACTTAACGAGACTTGTCAAAAGAACTGAACCCCTCACATGCACTGAGACAAGCGTCAAGCCGGATAGATGGCACACGGTATAGCATTATTTATTATTACACTGCAGCTCAATCCACCACACTACCTCCTCAGAAGCTCATTTGAAGTCCAGATGTTCTGTACTCCAGACTCCAGTGCTCACCAGATAGCTTTTTCCTTTCCAAAAAACCAGAAGAAACCTATCTCTGTTTTTTTCGAGATTTTCCTTCTATGTGAAACCTCATAATTAAACCGGCTTTTCTTCTTCGTTATTGATTTGGATGGTGATAGTGGTTTTATTGGGTATAGTCGTATAGATGGCCGTGAGATGGCGTCGATCGGGTTTCGTTGATTGGTGAGTGGGATGACAGTGGTGGTGGTGGGTCTAACAGTGGCGGCAATGCACCTGATGGTTCAGGCTCTGACGGTGGTGGTGGTGGTATTCTCAGTGACTATTCGCCACAGAAGTTGCTAGCTTTAGCAACTTCTAGTTAACAAGGGTGTTTAAGTACTTTTATGTCAAAATATGGTTAGAATTATAAATGAAAGCATAATAATTGGCTAAAATTCAATTCATGGTTCTAATTTTGGCTAGTTTTCCCAATATCCCTAAAACACACACACAGAAATCAAGCCCAGCGCTTAAGAAATCGAAAGAGGGCTGCAATTACGGTTCGGGTTTATAGGGTTCTTACCCAAATCCAACAATTTGAACCACTTTCGTACAGCCCAGCTCGAACTCAATCTTCCAAGCACAACCACGAAACAAGTCTTCAGCATGCAAGTTTAAATCGAATTAAGATCTTGAACCTCAAATATAAAAGATAAAATCGAAGAAATCCACTTACATAGACAGGAAGCTTACGATGAGAGGATCACTTTTGCTATTGGGTAACGGAGAGTCTCGGTTTGGTAGTTCTAGAGAGAGAGAGAGAGAGACAGACGCTTGTTTGGTTTTGAGTCTTTGTGTATTCATTACCCTCGTCCTTACTTTAACGACCTTCCAGTGTACCGAAAGATTGAGAGATTTTTTCAGTGTAACTGGTACACGAGGTGGTACATCACGTATTATTATACAAATTATGAGATATGTGTGCTAAAAAGTTAATAACTTAAAAAATAAAAATTTCCACTAATTCTATTAAAACACGTGATGCATCACTTGTGTTCTCGTCATAATTAAAAATTTCTCCCGAAAAAGACACTTTGAATTCCTAGCTTTACTTTTTGTTCTAATGTAATTTGGAATTTGTGCTGTTTCACTATATTTTATGCCTACTCTTTTTATTTTATCCAAAGTAATGGAATTTTAGAATTTCTATAAAAAAATTTATTTAATGAGATAAAATTTAGTTGTTATTGTTGTTACTATCTTCATATTTTACATATATTTCATAACACATATCAGTAGTAATTCAAATCTTTTGATAAAAATATTGGTTGCTCATTTTGGATTTGAATCACATTAATTTGTAGCCATCCCCTATTACTTCTTTGGACTATGAAAGGATAAAACAGGATGCATGAACAATTTGTATTCAAGTGTGAAGGAAATTGACGCACGTGAGTTGCGGTCAGATGCATGTAGAGAAATGTTGTTGCTTCCCCACAACGCGGCTGGATCTCATTGCAAGAACCTTGTACTGCAAATTGATCACAATGCCAAGCCAACACAGTACTTTGTATGCTCTTTTTGTTGCCTGAACACGGCCACAAGAAAGTTCTTCAGTCATTACCCAGGTATCACTTGTCCAGTGTCCACAAATTTCATGCGTCGTGAGATTACATTTCCCGTGGATGTTGTGAGCGCCTTTGTAACGGAGTCAGCCAAGCTTCTGACTACCGATGAATTACAACTGATCTCCCCCCTTAGTGAATCAATCGTTTCTTTATGTACCAATCTTGGAGTCACCATGGGAATATTACCGAGGAGTTGAATTTGAATACTAGAGTTGTTGAGTTGAATTTGCGAGTGTGTGTGCAAGTTTGAATATACTAGTTTCGTTTTAATACCGTTAATTGGGAATGGACAACAATTGATCAACTAATTCCTTGGAGAAGTCAGATCTTGTTTAAGCTTTTGGGGATATTACTCATTGGTTTAATTTCTAGAAGAGGTTGAACTTTCTTTATATTGTCTACAGATTTAATGGACATTTGTTCGTCATTAACTTTCTAATGCAGGTTTCTTCCTTTTCTTCTCTGATTGTATTTTTCGTAATTCAATAGACCGTATCAGTTGTAATCACAGTTAGCCATCAAATGCATCACTCTCTCTTATAAAAGACTAATTAGAGGCCTATGTATCCAAATTAAACAAAATTGACCAAACTCATTAGGTTGCCTTTTATGTATCCTTTGGAGATTATATTCTATTAACACCTGATTAGCTGGAGGTTAAACTCATAATGCTATACATAATTTCAGAGCTTCGAATCTGTAGGTACGATGAAACCGTAAATTTCTTCCTAGGTAAGTAAAGTAATGAATACTTCTTTTCAAAAGCTAAAGATGGCGGCCCTTTATATGCACCCCCACTCAAACTGAAACTTACTTCTTTTTTAAAGATAAAGCTTGGTTATCTTAATGCATGATGGTGACGCTTCTTCTGTTTATATAAACTGATCGTACGGATTGTATTATTCATTGTTTGATCGATCTCATCAGGTTGTTGTTTAATAAGATCACCGTGATGCACCCTTCTGTAAGTTCGTCATCGAGATAATACTGCCCGTTTTAGAATTGAGCATCAGTGATGCGATCAACCTCACGGTGATGAAAACACGAGGACTTTTTGCATTTTCATCCTTGCGAGTGTGAGATCAATAGATCACTGATTGTGCAGAAGCCGAGTCCTTGTTCTATTCTACACAGGTTTTTTAACAGTAGCAGCCAAGGACTTTCTGGTCCACACTGATTAGAGGCGTAGTCAGTGAAAATATATAATGATGATGAGTAATTTTCACTGGTAACATCACATTGTCACGTTTTGTTACCAATTCACTCATGTTATAGCACATTGATTGGTAACACAAGATAGAAGTTTGTGAGAATGTGAAGGTAAAAGAGTCTCACATCGGTGAAAAGAGAAACCTTGCAATGGCAGGTTTGGCTACTCTCTATATTGCCAATTGGTTTTTTGATAGAATCTCAACTTATTCGCAGTATTAAAGCAGGTTGGTTCACGTGTGATGCCCAACAGCCACTCGGCACGTGCTCCATGTCACCCAATTCTTACAACCTCGACTTTCTTCACTTGTGTCACCATAAAACTTCCGTACAAGTTTTTGTCTTGGATATCTTCTTTTAGAGATGCTATTAACACCTCATTAGCTTTTCAAAAGCAAAAGCCAAAATGCTGAGCCATAACATATGCACCCCCTTTCCAACCACCTCCCATTTGCGTATGACTTTAAGCTGAGCCTGTTTTATAAGTCTTCGTCTTCTCATTACCTTCACCCATGAAGCCTTCGTCTTCTCATTACCTTCCCCCATTACTTCAGGTTCGCAGTTTTACACAAAAAGGTAAAGATATTTGAATTCCATGTTTTTAAATTTTAATTGTACTTGCAGTGTATGTATTCTGTTACTACTGACCTGAAATTTAAATGTTAGTCGTTCTACTGTCTCTGCCATATGTGCTTCTAGAGATCTTATTATTTTTGTTATACGTTCCATCTCATCACTCATACCATTTCACCTTCAGCTGACCTTTTCTCTCAAGTCTTTGTGTTTTCATCACCTTCATCCATTACTACGACTCAGAAGGTTTATATGAACAGGTTCGATCTTCAAATTGCATGTTTTTTTTGTTAAATGTACTCGTAATGTTGAGCTGTTTGGCCTGATATGAGTAATCTGCTTGATTTAGTTAGGAGTCTAGTTTAATGGTCAAGTATATCCTGTTTTCGTTTTTCATGTTACTTTGTGAATTATGTTTTGGATTTTATGAGTTATGTTTTTCTGATGGGTTTGTGAATTTCAAGGCTAGAATTATTTTCTGCTGCAATCCATGGATAATACATCGGTGAACACCATTAGCTTGAAAGCCTTGGTGGACAAGGAGCGCAACCAAATTATGTTCATAGAGTCGGGAAATGATTTTATTGATGTTCTATTGAGTTTCTTGACAATCCCCATGGGGACAATTATCGGGCTGGCACCTAATCAATCAGAACCTTTAGAAATAGGTTGTATGAAAAATTTGTATGCAAGTGTTGAGAATATGGATGTAAAGCACTTCCGGTCTAAAGCATGTAGAGACTGTTGGAATATGTGGCCAAGTGGCCAACTCACATCCACTTTCGGCTAATAAAATAATAAGGTGGACAAAATCATTGTTGCTTTCCTTGTTTTGAGGAGAAAAGGAAAAGGCTAGCAAGTAGCCTTATTATTTTATTTGTATTTGGTTGTTTTTTAAAGGGAATGAAGGGTGCAGCCGAGTGATGAGAAAAAAAAGAAGGAAGGGCACCATTTGTTTTTTAGCATTCCTTTTGTGAGAGCATCCAAGGGGAGAGCATTTGGCTCTCCCATGGAAAAGGTTGAACATGGGTTGAGAGAAAATCAAGAGAGCTAGAGTGAAAAGTATTCTAGTGAAAGAACTCTTGGGGTAGAGTGAGGCTCTTGGGAAAATTCTGTGAGTGGGTGTACAAGGGATATGGGATTGGGTTATGTCGATTTAACTCATGTGTAACTTGTACTGTTTTTCTCATAGTGAAGAGCAATATCTCTCCGAGGAAGTAGGCAGGTTTTTGCCGAACCTCGTAAATTTCTCTGTGTCTTTATTTCTTGTACTTTATTTTGTTCAACTGTGTGTGATTTTTGGTGAGGTTGTAATCTGAATCTCGGTTCCGCACTAACGAACGGGTCAGGGCACAACAATTGGTATCAGAGCATCGTTGGGGGCTTTGGTTCGTTGGAGGTCCAGATTTGTTGTTCACCATGGAATTTTCAGTTGAGCAGTTTAAAGGGAGAGGCGGTTTTGCTCTTGGTAAAGGAGAGTAATGGAAGTCTGAAGAAATGGAAGCCGTGTTAGGGATGCTTGGATCAACTGCGAAAGTTGATGTTGAGGAAGAAGACAAAGGCCTCTTTCTTCTTACCTCACTTTCAGATTTGTACGAGAACCTTGTGAAACTTTACTGCAAGGAAAGAAACAGTAAGTTTGGAGCATGTGCAAGCTTCTTTGGTGTGGAATGATACACACAAGAGACCATGGATGATGGTGGGCACAAGACTGCTTAAGCTATTCAAGGTTGAAATCGTGGAAGAAAATTGGAAAGAGGATCTGAGAGAGACAGCAGGTTCGGATCCGGTTCCGGAGGCAAGGGTTCACAGTGCTACGGGTGCAAGGCTGGGTTAGCAAGTTTGTGGTGGAAGACTTTGAGTATGCCCTCTAGGTACTCGAAGCAACACTTCTCCTGGTGATGTTTAGTCTCAAGTGTTGCAGGGGTTTTGCAGCAGGTGGAGCTATGGGATTCACAGGTGATGAGAAGGTCCTGAGGTAGGAGGAAGTGTGGGAATTTTGTCTGGCTCAATGGGTTGTTGCTGGAAATAGGCGTGCTGACGAGTTTCCAGGTTGCAGACAATGAAGAGGAGGAAAACCTGCTGGAGGAGACGAGGATGTGTTGAGATCCTGTCTGAAGCTAAATGGTGATTTTTAGCTTGCAGCAGTTGCACATGCATTGGCAGTGACTGAATCGGAACAGGACCAACGAGGTTGATTCAGAGTGTGCATGCTGGTATGTAAGGCCAATGGATTTTGGAACTTGGCCAAGGTGGAGATTGTTGGAATATGTGGCCAAGTGGCCAACTCACATCCACTTTCGGCTAATAAAATAATAAGGTGGACAAAATCATTGTTGCTTTCCTTGTTTTGAGGAGAAAAGGAAAAGGCTAGCAAGTAGCCTTATTATTTTATTTGTATTTGGTTGTTTTTTAAAGGGAATGAAGGGTGCAGCCGAGTGATGAGAAAAAAAAGAAGGAAGGGCACCATTTGTTTTTTAGCATTCCTTTTGTGAGAGCATCCAAGGGGAGAGCATTTGGCTCTCCCATGGAAAAGGTTGAACATGGGTTGAGAGAAAATCAAGAGAGCTAGAGTGAAAAGTATTCTAGTGAAAGAACTCTTGGGGTAGAGTGAGGCTCTTGGGAAAATTCTGTGAGTGGGTGTACAAGGGATATGGGATTGGGTTATGTCGATTTAACTCATGTGTAACTTGTACTGTTTTTCTCATAGTGAAGAGCAATATCTCTCCGAGGAAGTAGGCAGGTTTTTGCCGAACCTCGTAAATTTCTCTGTGTCTTTATTTCTTGTACTTTATTTTGTTCAACTGTGTGTGATTTTTGGTGAGGTTGTAATCTGAATCTCAGTTCCGCACTAACGAACGGGCCAGGGCACAACAGAGACATGTTGTTATGTCCCCCGAATGGGTCCGAAGTTCATTGCAAGAACCTCAAACTGAAGATTGACCGTAGTGTGCCCACACGGTACTATACCTGCTCAAACAGTGAATGTCCTGCGTTAAGTTATAGCTCTGGTGTTAAATGTGAATGTTGTGGAAGATGGATAGGGACAGAGAGACAACTTTCAGCGATTCAAGATGGAGACTTCTTTGTGACAGGACTAGCCAGACTTATAATTAGTGATGATTTACAATTGATGCCTCCTTTAACTGCAGAAAGCCTTTCAGTATTTTCAGAGCTTGGAGTCATGAATGGTACTACTACTGAGGAGGTGACTTTCAATGTCGGATCTGATGAGGTAACAGAAGTATCGACATGCGCCTTTGTTTTTATTTTTAAACAACTTTATCCATCAGTGGTTTTTATTACCTGTCTTCTGCTTTTAGGTTTTGAAATTGCTTGTGCTCTCATTAGCATCAAAGACACCGCTGACAGAAACTCTGCTAAAGAATAAACCAATACGGAAATTGAGCAATGAAAATCAAGTAATAGATTTTGAACCTGAAATTGCAGAAGGCACAACGAATCCGAACGGAAACATTTCTGTCAAGCTTATAGTGAGCAAATCCAAGAAGATGGTTTGCTATGCAGAAGTACGGGAGGATTTTGTGAGTTTACTCCTCAGTTTCCTAACTATTCCACTGGGTTTCATTGTAAACAAAATGCGTGATTGCTCATTAAAAGGATGCATTAGTCAGGTGTTCAAGAGTGTCCAAGATCTTGACAATCACTACATATCGAACTACCACAAAGAAATACTACTCAGTCCCAAGCTTGCCCCCGGTTGTTGCTATGACAACCATCTCTTAGGAATTGAGGAGGCCACATTTTATTGTGCAGGTAGCTGTTATGCAGGTAACTATTTCAGTTACAAGCTGTCTACTGATAAAACTCTTATCGCTTCTAGTATAAGTGCTGCTGAAGGTCCTATCAAGTCAATGAAAGTCATGGGCCCCAAATCCTACCAAGATCAAGATAAAGGAGTTAAAGGCCAAGGATTTTTAGGACCGGCGATGTTCACAGTAACTGATGATTTGATCATAAGACCTATATCTCTAATCCTTGGCCTGTCTCTCCTGAATGAATTGAAGGTGCCTTCGACTGACATTGAAGCGAAAATCGTGCATGTGGGAAAAGAGGAGGTATCAATTATAAATTATAATTGTCGATGAAATCTTTACGCAAATTTATTTCCACAGAATATATTCTTTAAATTGCTGATGACTCTTGTTTATGTTTCTTCTTACAGGCCTTGCGTCTTTTGGTGGCTTCTTTTGTTTGTGACTCTGCGCTAACCAACGTCTTCATTAGGGAGCCAAAGCAGAACAAAGGACCAAGGCAAGAACAAAGTTGAAGGCCTGATTATAAATATGTTACAAACTCGAACTCTAATATGTATTTTTGTGTGAGAATACTTGTTCGCACTCTCGTTTATACGTATTTGCTATATGATCTGCATAGCGTGTTGCCGGATTACTAATATAAATTCTGGGGTTGAGAATTTGTTTGAATTTCATACTTGCTACGAACATGATCGATCTGCAATCTACATAAGTGTGTGGGTTTGCAGAAGATAATCTAGCCTGTCACGAAAATTTTCCAAAAAACTTTTCCTGGAAAATGTGTACAACCATGATGTGATGTGATACATACGGAATTCAACTCATATTAGGAAGAAATCAATAAGCGTCTTGATAATGGAAACAAAATCTAGACAGCCAGGATGTAATCGACAACAATTGATCAATTATTCTCAGCAATCTTTTTGTCCAACCGAATCTACAATTTTACAGAAATTTATGTGCCAATTTTTAACAATCCCCTGCTCAACAAAATGTACAAGTTAACCCACAATACATATAACTTTATTGCGCACGAACGATGAGCTAAGAACGAACAACTTGACGCCTAATAGATATCAACCAATTGCCCTTTTCGAAGAACTTCCCTCTTGCTCCATACATGTAATAGAACTTACGTGCTCTAAGTTGAAGTTTCACCTCAAAACCAATTGGAATGAGGTGAGTGGTCAAGCGGGGTCTGATGGAGTACTCACTTAGCCTAATTTATTTGAGAGATTTTTCAATGTAATCAGAACACGGGGTGGTACATCACATGTGACTATACAAATGGTGAAATATGTGTGTTAAAAAGTTAATAACTTAAAAAATAATATCTCTCACCACTTATATAAGAACACGTAGTGTACCACCGTGGTCCCGTCACAATGAAAATTTTCTCCACTCATTTGATGCCAAGCGAATTAAAATTTCGAAGCATTTGATGCGTATGTAAAATGGTTGAGTTAATAGTGTTGCATTTAATCAGCATGGTGCTGCATCATGCATTTACAGGTTGCATTTATTTGGTTTTCTTGATGTTTCGTCTTCCAAAACAAGACTTTTCGTGGACTTTCTGACACCTTATGTATTTTTGGCATAATATTTTATACTGTTAGCATGAAAATTAACCTTAAACTGTGTGGTTGAATTTGTGCTGAAGGATTACCTTTATATGTAGTTAAAAAAAATGACAATAACTTCAATCTAGTAGAATCTTATTTGCAAATCAGACTTTTGTTTTAAAACAATAATGAATGTTTAAAAACAAAAAAGAATAATAAAATTAATAAAAGGCATTTAATAATAAATTAAAAAAAATTGTGAAGCTGTTGTCAATTTTGACAGTGATGGCGAAGACTTGTAATTCATGTCATGTCACATTAGATTTGGTTTTTCGGTTGAAAAACATTATTGCTGCCTTTTTCAGTTGTTAGTGCTTATTTGAACATTTTGACATCTCTTTTAGAGATGCTCTAATAAATCAATATGCACAAAAATTAATAAATCAAAAGGCACAAAAATGTTTTTTGTGTGTTTGTAAATTAATAAAAAATAATACTAACCAGCATATATTTATGGCTTTTTAGCCAAAATGGTCTCTGAGATTATTATGGTTACGCACTTTGGTTCCTAAAATTTAAAATCGATCGAAGTGGCTACGAGATTGTCCATTGTCAATTATTTTGGTCCTTCTGTGAAAATCTCCGTTAAATTGAGGGTATTTTTGTCAAACCAACCACCTCCTAATTTAACGGAGATTTTTCATAGAATAACCAAGATGATTGACAGTGGACAAATTTCAAGGACCACTCCTATAGATTTTAAATCTCAGAAACCAAAATAATTAAGCTAATTTCAAGGATCCTTTTGAGGAAAAAAAAAAAAGAAGAAGAAGTATATGTATTGATCCTCTATTGTTTGGCGACATGAACATGATGAATAAGGATGAAGAAATATTTTCTTAGTCAGTTCTAGGAATATCAATGCTTGACTGCTGTTATACTATTACTATTAATTAGGGATATTACTCATGGGTTTAATTTCTAATGATTTAATGAACATTTGTTCGTCATTAACTTTCTGTATCTAATTAACGCAGGTTTTTGTCTTTAACTTCTCTACTTGGAGAAATTTTTTAGTGGACCAAAAATTCTAGTTATTTAACAAAAATTCACTTAAACGACTACATGGCAATTTTTTAAACTTTAAAATTGAAATAGCCAGGTGTTATGGTTCTATTCGCTAGGAACTCCACGTCACTTCATGTTCCAGGTACTTGGAAAAATTTCTCGTATTTCAGTAGACCTTATCGGTCACAGTTAGCTATCAAATGTGTCAACCTCTCTACCCAATTTAACCAAATTGAGCTGGTTTGAGCAAACTCATTAGGTTGCCCTTGATGTCTCCTTTAGAGATTATGGTCACACCATATTAGCTGGGTTAAATTCATAATGCTATGCTTAATTTCAGAGCTTCGAACCTGCAGGTACGATGAAACCGTAAATTTCTTCCTAGTTAAGTAATGAACCTGCAGGTGATGAAACTGTAATTTTCTTCCTAGCTAAGTCACAATGCTAAAGATGGTGGCCCTTTATATGCATCCCCACTCAAGTGACCTTAACTTCTTTCCAAAAGTTAAAGCTTTGTTATCTAATGCATGATGGCGACACTTCTTTCATTTCAGTTGAAAATGAATTCTACATTGATTTGAGAATGGACCTTGCATGAGTTTATACGTAAGTTGTGTTACTCCCCCTACATTGATTTGAGAATGGACCTTGCATGAGTTTATACATAAGTTGTGTTACTCACCCTATTCCCAATTGGTTTTATAGTGAAACCTTAACTTTCTTTGTCACTATACAACTTCTGTACAAGTTTTTGTCTTCGATATCTTCTTTAGAGATGCGATTAAGACCTCATTAGCTTTTCAAAAGCAAAAGCTAAAATGCTGGGCCATAACATATGCACCCCCATGCAATCGTCTCGCACTTGTGTATTACTTTAAGCTGAGCCTGCTTTATAAGTCTCTGTCTTCTCATTAACTTCACCCATTACTTCAGCTTCGCAGTTTTACACAAAAAGGTTTTATATTTGAATTCCATGTTTTTAAATTTTAATTGTACTTGCAGTTTTGATCCGTCTGGACTTGTTCAATCTGTTTGATATGTATTATGTTAATACTGATCTGGAATTTAATTGCTCATTGTTATACTGTCTCTGCCATAACTGCTTCTAGAGATCGTATTATTTTTGTTATACGTTCCATCTAATCACTCATCAGTTGTAGGAGGTGGAATATATTTACAATTATATTCTGCATTCGGGTTTTTTAGATATGAATCGTGTTTGTTATCTGCGACTGCGTAACATCTGTTGGAAGGTTAAACCAAATTTCAGTTACATGAAAGAGTCATAAATCAGGAATAAGAAAGCATAGAAGTTCTAGAGTTGTGATGTTTGGAATTTCTAGAGTTAATCATGATTTCTCTAGATGTTTCAATGTTCAAGAACCTTATAATTACCTAAATATATGATGATGTATTCTAGTGGCTATAAAAGCCATGTAATGAGTTTTGTGAGAGAAAAGAAATCAGAAATTAGAAGAGTCTTTTCAAGTTTTAAAAACCTTTCCGCTCTCCTACGTTTCTCTATCCCTCTTCCTCCTACAACATCTGCCTACTTATGAAACTTTATACTGCAAATTTTGATTTCTCACTTGCTCCTTTCATGTTCAGCAGGAAATAGTGTGCCACTTTACTTACTGAAATTCTGCAGAGAAGGGTAAAAAAGGCAACCTAGCTAGTCCGACTATGGAGAATAAGATAAACTTGAAGGCTTTGGTGGATAAGGGGAGCAACAAAATTATCTTCATAGAGTCCGGCAATGCTTTTATCGATGTTCTTCTAAGTTTCTTGACAATCCCCTTAGGAACAATAATCAAGCTTGGTCGTGAGCATTCAGCACCAGTGGAAATAGGATGCATGAACAATTTGTATTCAAGTGTGGAGGAAATTGACGTAAGTGAGTTGCGGTCAGATGCATGTAGAGAAATGTTGTTGCTTCCCCGCAACGCGGCTGAATCTCATTGCAAGAACCTTGTATTGCAAATTGATCACAATGCCAAGCCAAGACGGTACTTTGGATGCTCTAACTGCCTGGAGCGGCAGACCACAAGAAAGTTATTTCGTTTTAACTTAGGTACTACATATTGTGCAGCCTGCTACCATTACACGTATGGGGAGATCACATTTTCTGTGGATGTTGCAAGCGCCTTTGTAAAAGAGCGAGCCAGGCTTCTGATTACCGATGATTTACAACTGATCTCCCCTTTTAGCGAATCAATCAGTTCTTTATTTACCAATCTTGGAGTCACCAATGGGAATACTACCGAGGAGTTGAATTTGAATATTGGAGTTGATGAGGTACTCAATTGTTGATTTATGCGTGCCTTAATTAACTTTTCGTTAAAATTGCAGTGTGATTTCTGACTTTATTTTTTCCCAGGTTGTGAATTTGCTTATAGGCTCCTTAGTATCAAAGACACCGTTGACCGAAACTCTGCTGAAGCATAAACCCGTGGCCAAACTGACCAATGAAAATAATTATCAAGCCATACACATTGATCCTCAAACAGTAGGGGAGACAGTGCTGACGGAAGAAGACAACATTTCTATCAAGCTGATAATTAGCAAATCCAAGAACATTGCTTGCTACGCAGAAGCCGGGGAGGATTTTGTTAATTTACTTTTAAGTTTCCTAACTCTGCCACTTGGGTTTGTAGCAAAGCAGATACAGGATGGGTCTCTGAAGGGATGCATTGATCATTTGTACCGGAGCGTCCAAGATCTCGATGCACAATACTTGAAGTCAAATCATCACAAGGAAATGCTAGTCAATCCGAAGCTGGATCCTGATTTTTGCTACAACAGTCTTTTAGGGATTGAGGCAGCCTCGTATTATTATCTCAACAGCAGGCTAACTACCGATTGTTCCCTTATCCCTTCTAATAGCTCATCGGAGTCATTTAAAATCGAACCCACAAATCTCGTCTCCAGTGCTGGAGGATTTTTAAAAGGACCGGCGTTTTTCACAGTAACTGATAATCTGGTCATAAGACCGATATCTACAATCTTAGAGCTGTCTGTTCTTGACAAATTGAATGTACCTGTCACTGACACTGAAAAAAGAAATGTTCTTATGGGCAAAAAGGAGGTGAGTAGTCATTTATAATTTTCGATTGCCTATACTAACAGAATCCTTCGTATTAACTTGCAGGATCTTTTAAGCACTGCAGGGCATTAGGCAAAGATTTCGATTGTTTTAATGAATTTTGGAAGCTAATTAAATAGTTTGCTGATGACTCCTGAAATATTCCTTATTTGTTTGCAGGCTTTGAGTCTTCTGGTGGCTTCTTTTGATAGTGACTCTGCCCTAACTAATGCCTTCATTAGCAAGCCATATCAAGCGTAACCAGAGCTTGGTTATATAAGATGAAGAGGATAGGATATAATGATTTTTTTTTTGTTTTTTTGGTTGTTTCCAACAGGACTGTAATGTTTTCATGATTGTGCAAACTTGGGATTGGTGTTTGCGTGTGTGGGCAAGTTCGAATGTTCTAGTTTCATTTTATTACAACATGAGTGGACAATAATTTTATATTTTGAAAATAGTATCCTAAATAAAACATATGTTGTAACATCGGTAGAATGGAATGAAAACACCATGTAGCGGTCGCAAATTATGGTTGATAGGATTTTTGGTACATGCACAAAGTGTGGATAAAAACGTAAAAAAATACTTGTAAGTAAAGAGTATAAGATAGCTGTAGTATAAATGCTCCAGAGATTATTAAAAATAAATTATATTTAAAACTAATTCTTAATTAATTATTGAAACAAAGAAATTGAAATTGTGACTTGAAATGATAAAAATTAAATTAAATTAAATTAAAATTTTAAAACTAATTAAAAATAATTTTAAATAAATCGGCAAAAGTAAAATAAAGTAAAAGAAAATGGTTTGGAAAATCAATTTAAAATGCACTACGGTTCCACTGTCACCTTAACAATCCTACGTTGTTCTCCCAGTTACTTATAAATTACCCACGCATATATTGAAGGTTAGGTTTTCCTAAAGTATGCTTTACTTGAACCTATAATCTAGAACGAATATCAAACTTGGAATCTATCCGGATGTCCGGATCAAATATGAGCATGAAAAACTCATTATGTTTTATGAAAACCCTTTGAAAAATCATGCAATCCTTTAGACATGGTGTTCGCCCTAAGTGAACTTACAATTATTAACCATAAGAAGCCATAGTCAAGTTCAGGAACCTTCTGACTAAAATTGCATCAAATTACTTTTCGAAATATCCTAAAGATGATCAAGCATCAAAACGCAAAGATAGTTTAAACACAATGATTATCAATTCAAAACTTACATGCATAATATAATAAATGAATTGAAAAGAAACTACATAAGACCGGTGGCCTCACTCTAGTAAAAGAAAGTTAGTTACACAGATTCATAACTAAAATATTATTAAGAATAAGGATAGAAAACACCTTGAAACAAGAAAACAAATCGTCAAAGCCTAGTCAAGTTCTCCAAATTAATGCATCGAGAACTCTCATACACGATACACCATATTTATAGTGCTTTATTCCTTATCTCCAACTAAACAAGGCTTTCTAATAAATCTAGAATAAGTAAAATAATAAAATAAGAACTAAAAGGTTTTCTATTTAAAGTCAAAAATGTACTTTGTAAAGCTTAAACGTTCCCAACATGTATTTTGTAAAGCTTAAACGTTCCCAACAAATCCTCAAAAGCAACCTTCCTCAAAATATGTTCAAAATGTATCTTTTTAAAGCTTAAGACGTCCCAAAATATATCTTTATAGAGAGAATCAGGTTCAAAGCTTTTGACATTTCTTTTGCTCTAAAACACGAACAATTATGTCTATAAAGATTAATACTAAATCAAAAGGCACAAAAATGCTTTTCGTGTGTTTAAATAAGTAAAAAATAATACTAACCCTCCTATATTTATTGATCCTCTAGTGTTTGGAGATATGAGGAATGAGGATGATGAAATATTTTCTTATGTCAGTGCTAGGGATATCAATGCTTGACCGCTAGTAGAACTTATCAATTGTAGTCACAGTTAGCTATCAAATGCATCAATCTCTCTTACAAAAAGATTAATTAGAGGCCTTTGCACCCAATTTAACCAAAATTGAACTATAGTTTGAGCAAACTCATTAGGTTGCCTTTGCTGTCTCTTTTGGATATTCTGTTAACACCTGGCTAGCTGGAGTTAAAGTCATGATGCTATACTTATTTTCAGAGCCTCGAACCTGCAGATACGATGAAACTGTAAATCTCTTCGTAGCTAAGTAATGAATCTGCAGGTGATGAAACCGCAAGTGATCCTCACTTCTTTTCAAAAGCTAAAGCTTGGTTATCTAATGCAGGGTGGTGACGCTTCTTCTTCTGTTTCCGTACAACTTTTTGTCTTCGATATCTTCTTAGAGATGCTATTAACACCTCATTAGCTTTTCAAAAGCAAAAGCCAAACTGCTGGGTCATAACATAAGCACCCCCTTGTGTATGACTTTAAGCTGAGCCCGTTTTATAAGTCTTCGTCTTCTCATTACCTTCACCCATTACTTGAGCTTCACAGTTTTACACAAGAAGGTAATATATTTGAATTCCATGCTTTTAAATTTTAATTATACTTGCAGTGTTGATCTGTCTAGACGGGTTCAATCTGCTTGTTATGTGTTATGTTAATGCTGACCTGAAAATTAATTCTTAATTGTTACTCTGTCTCTGCCATAACTGCTTCGAGAGATGATATTATTTTTGTTATACGTTCCATCTCATTTCGCCTCAGATGTAGGTGTCTTCCTAATTAAGCAACTAATCACTCATGATATATTTCCATACTATTTCACCTGCAGCTGACTTTCTCTCAAGTCTTTGTGTTTTCATCACCTTCATCCATTACTACAACTCAGAAGATTTATATGAACATGTTCGATCTTCAAATTCCATGTTTTTAGGTTAAATGTACTCATGATGTTGAGCTGTTTGGCCTGATATGAGTAATCTGCTTGATATCAATATTTCAACATCAGGACTTGTTTAATTTGTTGCTTATGCACATCAGTAGTGGTCGTGCAATGCTAATTTCCTTAGCTTTCAATCCAACTCATGTAATGAGCTTTAAGTCAATAACTCATAAATCATAAAGCTTTAGGGCACTGGGTGTAAAAAACCCTAAAGACTTACTAATTCAAGCTGAAAAGGCTACGAAATCAACCGGGCAAATATGTTTTTTTTTTTTAATCGAGTCAAGTCGAAAGAAGACAGATGCTGAAATATAATATTTTTTAGCTTGTAATTTTCGGTAACTTTTTTAAAATACAGATTTTTCATTTCCCGTGATCAGGTTTGCGAATCTGGACTGGGTCGCATAGTGGAGTTTTGGTTGGGCCGGGTCGAATAGTAGGCCAGTTTCACTGAAAACGGGTTGAATCGTGGGCTAGTTTGGTTATGCCCGGTCAAACGGGTTCAGTCAGACCAGGTCGGATTGTAGGCCAACTAAAAACCGCCGCTGTTTCGGCCGGCGACCGAAATTAAAAAGAAGAAGAAATGCCGGTGCAAGATTACTTGGATAAACACATGCTCTCTCGGAAAATCGAAGACGCCGTCAATGCCGCCGTTAGGGCTAAGGCCTCCGATCCCGTCCTCTTCATCGTAAATCTCTGCTCTCGCTCTCGTCTGTGATTCTGTTTGGTTACTCGGAAAATGAATATGCAGGAAAGTTTTTGGAAAGAAAGGGAAGTTGTAGTTTCTTGATTGGTTTTGTTTGAGCTGTGAAATGATTTTGTTGTTTTTCTTTGTCCTTGAATTGAATTACGCAGTCGAATCATATGAAGAAAGCGGTTCCTTCAGTGATAACGAAGGTCAAAGCTCGACAGATCCTCGATAGCAGAGGAATTCCTACCGTTGAAGTCGACCTCCACACTAACAAAGGAATGTTTCGTGCTTCGGCTCCTAGCTCTGATGCTTCTGGAATGTAAGCTCTCTGTGGTTTGTGTGTGTGTTGTTTGGCTGCCGAGAATTGTACTTGTTCGAAAACATATGACCTTTTGCTTCAATTGAATTGCAATTTTTTGTACAATTGCGTGTAGAAATGCTTTTTATGACTCAGAAATTGATTTGTAATTGCATTGATCAAGAGCATTGCTATTAAATAACTATATTTGTTATGCCTCTAGTAGACAATGCTATTTGAGGTCGATCTCGTTCAAAAGTATATGATTCTGAGAACAATCATCAAGGGGGGGATTTGTTGAAACCAGGTACGAGGCTTTTGAACTGCTAGATGGGGACAAGGGATTATATCTTGGAAATAGTGTGAGTAAAGCTGTTAAGAATGTCAATGAGAAAATATCTGAAGCATTGGTGGGTATGGATCCTACACTTCAGTCTCAGATTGATCAGGCAATGATGGCCCTCGATAAAACAGAAAAGAAGGTAACGTTTTTCGTTTTTCAGTGCAACTTGATGTAATTGAGCTGTTTGAGAATTTGTTGCTAATATATATCGGTGCTTTCAGGAAATTGCATTTCTGTTATCTAGTATGTTTTCTGGTAGTATGCTATGACCCTCCTTGTCTAGCTATAAAAAATATAAATTATTATTATTAAGCATTTGTAATATTACTTTTTATTTATGATTTTGGATTTATAATTATAATCAAATCATCTATCAGAGCGAACTTGGAGTAAATGCCATATTGGCTGTGTCAATTGCTGCTTGCAAAGCTGGAGCTGCTCAAAAGGAGGTAGTCGGGCATGACTATTTTTCTATTAGTATTGCTAAAATTTGTATACTTTTTTCTCGAAAGTGTCTGAGTAAAGATTAACATCAGGTTCCACTGTACAAACATATTGCTGACCTTTCTGGAAAAGGCCACCTGACCCTGCCTGTCCCTGCTTTTACTGTTATTAGTGGAGGAAAGCGTGCTGGGAATAATCTGGCCATTCAGGTATGCTCTGGTAAGCTTGAATCTATAGATATGTATTTACCAATTCTTTTATTTCGGTTGTAATGTATGTGGGGAGAGGGGTTTCAATATTTGGATCATTTGGTTGATGTGGGTAACTTGTGTTGACATCATGAAAGTATGGCATTTTTACTAAAAATGAGCTTAACATTTTAAATATTTGAAATTGGCTATTGGGAAACTACAATCGAATTCACTGGTGAAACACTTCTCTATGAATTGATTGTGTCAGTAACGACTGCTTAATGCTCTCCTTGGTTCCTCCTATAACAATTTTTTATATGCCTGCTGAAGCTGCTTACGTAGATCTCAATATAGATTTTTTAAGCATGAACGCTTCAAATATTTGTGTGCATGTCCTTATAATTAAACTTGACTTGAAATTTTTAGGAAATTATGATTCTCCCAATTGGAGCTAGCAAGTTTGAGGAGGCATTGCAAATGGGATCTGAAACCTATCATCACCTAAAGGTACTTTTCATCTCAACTGTTGACTTTGGAGATTACATTCCGTCTATGCTTTTAATGATGAGAAAAAAAAATCTTTTTCCATTTTATGAGACCTGTTGAGTTACTCATTTCCTACAAGCAATCACCTTATTTTTTGTGGCAAAGTATATAGCACATTGTTGTGTTTTAAACTGCAATGGACCTGAACGCAACTTTTCTTATTTTAGTAAGTATTAATTTGACCTAAAAGCTTTATTTAGTGCCAGATTTTCAACAAATATTCAGCTAGATTAGTGACAATGAAAATTAGCTCTGAAAGTGAAAACTTCATCCAAATTTTAAGTGACTTGTGCCTTTCCGAATGTTAAATATCAGAGTATGTACTGATTTCAGTTTTATCATGCCATTATGGTAATCCTTGAAATAAATTTCATGGCTCTTCATAGCTGCTCGCAAGTGGCAAATATAGGAGTATGCATGGAATTTATTTGGCTTAAATAATCAAGTCAATAGCTCAGCATCCCATGAGCATAAGAAATTGGAAAAGGACCTTTCTCTGTACATGTGAACAAGGCGATGCCATTATGTCCCACTTTGTTTTCATGGTAGCATCTCTCAGTTTTATTGATAACTATTATTGTTTTTGTTGACGACTATTATTGCTTACAAAAAGAGCAGGCTGTTATTACAGAAAAATATGGTGCACATGGATGTAATGTTGGTGAAGATGGTGGTTTTGCTCCCAACATCTCGAGGCAAGTCTTTTTTGTGTGACCTGTAGTGTTCTTTAATTTCTTTGCCTCATGAATCCCCATGACGGCTTCCCAAAATGAGATATAAGTCTTTGGAAGAGGAAAATCATCTTAGATGTTCCTAAAATGCGTTAAAAGACATTGTTTTAGGTTTTTTTTTTTTAAGCTGTTTGCAATGGCTGTTACTTTGTGCCTTATGAGAAACTTCTGAACTAATTAGAAGATATGCCATTTTTAAAATTATTTCTATATCTCTTGGCAGTGTTAAAGAAGTCTTGGATCTTGTAAAAGAGGCGATAAGTAGAACAGATTATAAAGACCAAATCAAACTAGCAATTGATGTTGCTGCTACTGACTTTTGCATAGGTGATGGATCTTTCTTGAGAATTGGTCTTTTTCTGTAACAGCAATTTGGGAAAATAATTGCATTTTATGTTTTCTTGATGGAAATCCAAGGCTAAATGATCTTGTAGTAATGATTAAAATTTATATTCTTTTTCAAAAACAACATGAATTCATGTATAATTTAATGACAATATTTTCCTTCTGTTTTCCCCATGAATACAGGTACAAAGTACGATCTGGATTACAAATCAGCGGATAAGGGACAAAATTTCAAGTCGGCTGATGATATGATTGGGATGTATAAAGAACTTTGTAGTGGTAAGTCAGTCTCTCCTTTTCTGTTTCTCAATGTTTGTGTATTTGGTTTGCAATTTTGCACTGTGACTTACCTTTTCTGCCTTCCCTGTGTTTGGGGTGTCAGAGTACCCAATAGTGTCAGTTGAAGATCCGTTTGATAAAGAGGACTGGGAACACACTAAACGCTTTTCTAGTCTTGGAATTTGTCAGGTTTGTTTACTTTTCTTTTGTTCCTGAGATATATTTATTTAGTATCTTGGTGCTTTCATTCTTTGCCGAATTAGCTTTGACCAGATAAGGGATTGATCGTTTTTGTTTTGTTCCTCCGTACGGAAAACTATGTAGGAAGTAAATAGATAGATATGGACCTGTAACTGTTTTTGTTTAACATCCTTGTGAATGTTTAAGGCCGTAGTACACTGCAAATTTTATATTGTGATAAATATCCAACCTTCGGTTGGCTTGCCTATGACTGTTGCTGAGCAATTTAGAATCCTGCCTATATAAAAGTTTGTTTTTTATTGGATGCCTCATGTATTTTCTCCTTTAGACCTGAGATATGGTTAGTGTCTGGAAGACTATGGTTTTTCAGGTAGTTGGAGATGACTTGATAACTTCAAATCCAAAGCGTATTAAGAGAGCTATAGAGGAGTCCACCTGCAATTCTCTACTCATAAAGGTATTTTAACGGTTTTGAGATATTTTTAATACTGATATTTACTGTTATGGCTTTTTTTGGGATGAGAGATGAGGGAGAGGCAACTGATAATTTTACAATTCAAAATCAGATAAACCAGATTGGAACAGTGACCGAGATCATTGAAGTGATGAAGCTGGCAAAGGATGCCCACTGGGGAGTGGTCATGTCTCATAGATGTGGTGAAACTGAAGATTCCTTCATAGCCGACTTAGCTGTTGGTCTCTCAACAGGTCAGATCAAAGCTGGTGCTCCTTGCAGAGGCGAACGGCTGGCCAAGTACAACCAGGTAAACTTCTATTTAAGATTCAGTTACCGTGTCCACCATTCTGGGAACAGACAAATACATGATTTGAAACTGATGGGCCAAGTTTTGTTGCAGTTGCTTCGAATTGAGGAAGAACTTGGGGACGATGCATTTTATGCTGGTGAAGATTGGAGGCGATCACACTGATCACGTTTCTCAGGTTTTCTCCTCACAATTCCCTTCTCCTTGTATTCTTCATCTAAAGGCCGCAGCTTATACTTTTAACATCACAAATATTCAGCAACATGGTCCACCGCTCACCGATCCTTCTTCTGCTTCATTGTTTTGGCTATCAGAGTGTTTTCTTCTTTGTTTTCTCTCTGAGTAAAGAGCAGTATGGAATTTGTAATTAAGTTTGCTAAGGTGTTCTAGACATGGGCGTAGTCTAGCATGTTAATGTTTTTGGAAAAAAGCAAATTTTGTTTGTAAGTGCTTTTTATCTATTGAGCGTCAAATGAGCCCTTGATCTCATGTGACTAAGGTCAAATAAATCAAAATTAAGCATGACAAAATTAGTTGACAGACACTACTTCCTCGCACCGTCAGCTGAAATAAAACAACAGAAAGTGCACAAAATTAATTAATTTGAATTGCTTGTTACCAAAAATTAATTTGACTTTGACATTTATTAACAAGAAATACGAGGAAACGAATCTTGCAAGTATTAGTTTTCACTGCTCCTGTAGCTGTCGCAATTCTTCTCCCTGCAGCTCTTTTGAAGGAGGATGTAGTTGGAATAGCAATTGCATTTGCAAGAGATGACGTGTCAATCGTCTGGTACCTGGTGTTAAATTCTGCTCTCGCATATTTTGTCAATTTGACTGACTTCTTGGTAACAAAACACCAGTGCCTTGACTCTCCACGTAAGTTAGCAGACTAAACTTAATTATGCAACCCACAAATCAACTAAAAAAACCAGGAGAAACAACATTGTTTGACCTAACGGAACGGATTCGAAAACTCCGAAACTACACATCTGCTAACTAATTGTCACAGAGAAAGCAAGAAAAACCTCAAACAGAGAAGTATTGAGAAAATCCCGCTACTTGGATTTTTAAACCGAGTAATTCAAGTCAGCAAAAGAGTATGCTGGTGATGACGTGGTGTGAACACTCAAACTTCAGGCTTGGTTTCGCCTTCATCGTCTTCTTCTATCTTCGGAGCCAGGTAGAACCTAATATAGCCCATCTCTGCAATCTTGTACTCAACCACAACTGGAAGTTCAGAAGACAAGCTGATTGTGACTGTATTCGACAATGTGGTTGCCTTTGTGAACGAGTTCATGTACCTCAGAGCGAATGTCAACGACACTGGCTCGCTCATGTTTATGACCGTTGCTTCTTCGGGCTGCAATTCCCAAAAATCAGAAACAAAAATAAACAAAGTTAGACATTGCATTAAAATACCGAAAGACAAGCAGCTTGCCAATTAATCCGTCTGTCAGGACGATATACCTTGTCAACTGTAGTGTTCTGCCTACAGACAATGTTGGCAGTGCCTATATCCCCTCTTGTGGAGAACTTCACACCTTCCTTGGTCACAGATATCACAACTGCAAGCAATATCGAACCATTACTTACAAATCCACAACACAAACACACCAAATTTAGATAACCGTGAATCCTCTGATGAAAAAATAGTACCTGTGTCACCAATCCCACTGAGGTCCTTACATATCCTAGCAAACTCAGCTGAGGGCATCGTCACAATAGACTGATATTCTGCCTCCGGAATTCCTAGGTGCTCGCTATCAATATCCATCAGCTTCATCTCAAAATCAGAAATTTTATCTTGTGCTGTGATCCATCACCCAAAAATCAAAACGACGAACAAATACATGAAACAGAAAACTAAAATTGGGGCATGGTAATAAACCATCACAAAACCAAAATCTTGTTTGCAAAACTTCCAATTAACGATTACAACTACCGGATACAATGTCTCCTGATGATTTATTAAGATGTCAGTAAAATTTTCATCACTTACAATTCAATTTCTCCAAATATGAGTGTATATATATTTCCATACAAGTAAAGAATAACAGCCTCTATCGTAGAACATCAATGAGGTACGAATTAATAAACATTGGCAAACACGGAATTAACAGAATTTACTTAAATGCAATCCAAACATTAGCAGGTTAACCAAATAAGAGCGAAACTGACAATTAAATCCAGTATCAATTTCAAGATTCATGAAAAGAAATTTGAAAAAACAATAAAAATAAACGCTTCTGTTTGCTTTCTTATAATTTCTTGCATACAAGAGAAGCAATTTACAAAAAGAATAAAGAAAGAAAATTAACAGCCAATAATTAAAGTTGATAGCAAAAAAAATCCCAAATTAATTAACCCCAAATGACTCAAATCATTTGGGGAAAAAAACCCAAATACAAAAACGGGGGAAGAGGAAGAAGGAACATACTGGGGCTTTCGAACATGAAGGTGACCGTGTCACTGCCATCGTCGGCCTTGATGGTGATGATGTCATCATTTCCGGCGCACTTGAGCATCTTGGACATGTTGCCGAGGTTCATGCCCATGGAGATATTGCGGTCACAGCGGTAGTGCTCGAAGCCCTCGGATCTGAGGAGGAGGGCGACGAGCGCCACGTGGCTGGAGTCCATGGCCTGGAGGGAGAAGCCGGAGGAGGAGCAGTCGAAGTTGGCGTCGTTCACCAGGTCCTTGATGGACTCCAGCACCTTCTTCAGCAGCGACCCCTGCACCAGTCGGAGCTCCAACATCGTTTCCGGGTCGTCGGAAGAAGCGTTCGGGTTGTTTGATTTGGGGAATCTAGGTTTTTTTTTAGGCGGGGAGATTTTGAGGGTTTGAGTGAGGGTGTGGGGGTTAGGGTTTATATAGTGGGGGGAAATGGGAAGGCGTGTTTGGGAATTTCGGGTTCGATTGGCGGGATTTGATGGATTCGTGTTCCCGCGCAGGACTTTGAAGGGGAGTGACTGCGTGCCTTGAGGGTACAGGGTAATTATTCGTGCACCTTCAGTTGTTTGGGTTGATTTCTGACCAGAAGAAAACTGTACAAATTTGAAGGCCCGTGACCGATAGCCCATATAGAAAAAACATTGCACCTTCAGGCCCATTTTTAATATCTAAAAGACTTGAACATACTTCGGGCGTAATCACAAATGCTCTTAACCTATTGAGATGCAAATCACTTGTATTTTTTTATACGTTTTTTCTTTTCTCTTCTAATGTACAAGCAATAACAGAGGAAAGAGGAATCGAATACAAAATATTAGTATGGGTCAAATACTCATGTCTAAGCTAAAGAAACAACGTTATTGTATTTGTAACTCCGATATAGTATTATTAAAGTCGGTGGCACAAATTGGACTGCATAGGTAAAAAGTACTGTCGTAAAATGTCTTTAGCTTTCTACTAGTGATTTTTAAACAAAGATTGTTTAAGTAAACATTGTGGGAGGACAACGTGGATGTAGAATGGTGAATCAAGTCAAACATAAGCTGAAACTTTTATGGTAATTATGCTTTATCAAGTGTATATATTTAAGTGTTAGTATTTCTTAACTCGCGAAACCTGTAAAAAAATTCTGTTATAATAAATTTGTTAAAAATCAAATATACTTTTTTTTTTTTGAGGTATAACTTATTGTCGCACATGTGAACGCGAATCGAGAGACTAACATAGTTTACTGACGTGCGTAAATTTGCTAATAGAAAGAAGAGGTGTGATATCCACACATCCTATTTTACTTCTCACATACCTTTTGAATTTTCGTCCGTCGGATCGGATGAATTAAAAAAATCAACGAACAAAAATTATCAAAGGATGTGTGAGAAGTAAAATAAGGTGTGTGGATAGCACACCCCTAAAAAGAAATAACTCTTTATATAAACGGAACCCAAGTATTTTTTTTATCTGTTGAAATGATTTAACAATTTCTTGAATTGATCTAGAAAAATATAATAATAAATTCACAAATCATTCCAAAGAAAATATAAAACTTACAAAATCAAAACCCAACCAACCAAAACAGGAGGAATGTTGAAGAGATTTTTTATAGATTCCTTGTTACTTAATGTTTTTTATACAACGTTTATAATGTTAATACAAAAATTGACATTAAATTATGAAGTGATAAAAAATTTATTGAGATTAAAGAGAGAATCAAATTAAGCAACAAAATCCCTTTTTAAGCCCCAAATGATTAAACTAATACAATTGAAAACGATGAAGAAAATAGCAAAGCGAGTGACAAAATGAAAAACTCAGTTGCGAATTTGCAATTGCAAAAAGCTTCCTTCTTCTTCCTAGTTCCTTTCCTTCGTAATTAACCACCTTCTTTATATAACCTTAATCCCCCCAATCCCTCTGAATTTCCCTCCAATTTCCCCAAAATCCTTGCTTTTGAAGCTTTCGTTTGCGCCGTTCAATGGCAGATCTCAGCCCCAGGTCTGAGATCTCCTTCTTGCAAACTTTCCTCTGCAGTGCTTTTGCTGCCTGCTTCGCTGAGGTAATCGATGATCCTTCTGCTGAAATGTTAGTTGTTTACTTCTTAGTTTTGAAATTTGGTTTACTGGGTCGGCATTTTTTATCATCATTTAGCTTTAATCTCTGTGTTTTAGCGCAATTAGTGTGATTTCTTACTTGGGTTTTTTGAGTTTTGATTGAGATCAATGCGAAATTTGGTCTCCAATTTTGTGGGAATGTATGTGGAAATATGAAGTTAAAATTTGAGGGTAGCTGCTGTTCTTTTGTACTTGACATTTAGTCCTGGTATGATGGTTCGGAGAATTGCATAATGTGGCTTAATGTGAACAAACCGATACACTAGGATCGAAAGATGGAACAAGTTAGGTTGAATGGCGAATGTTATGCTAGAATCGAATCGGTTTAATTAGTTTTATCTTGGTGGTTAAGACTTTCTTGAACAATTTAAGCACTTTGAAGTACAATTTGATGGCCTTATAACTACAAGGTCTCAACATCATGTGTGTGCATAAAAATCAAAGTTTAGTGTATAACGGTGTCTGCATGAATATTCTGCAGTTTTGTACCATTCCTTTAGACACCGCTAAAGTCAGGCTCCAGCTACAAAAGAAAGCGGTCCCAGGGGATGGAGCTGGCACACCAAACTATAGAGGCCTTTTGGGTACTATGGCTACAATCGCTAGGGAAGAAGGCTTAGCAGCACTTTGGAATGGCATAATTCCAGGATTACAGCGCCAGTGTATTTACGGTGGCTTGAGAATTGGATTATATGATCCTGTGAGTTCCAAATATGTTTTATTTCATAAATGCAATTACGAATTACTTGTTTGATGCTTTATTTGTGACACATTCTGCATATCCATAAACTGAACGTTGAAACAGGTCAAAATTTTCCTTGTTGGCAGTGCTTTTATTGGAGATTTTCCTATATTCCACAAAATACTTGCAGCTCTATTGACTGGTTAGTGTACTTGGAAACTATATTTCAAGACTAGATTTCATGCAACCTGCTGTTCATTAACATATCTGAAGTTGCCGGAACTATTGCTGTTATCTTCCCTGCATTTTGATCTGAAAAAAAGCTAATTTAACTGCATGCTCTTTCGCGTACTTCTATGTTAACAGGTGCTCTGGCAATCATAGTGGCTAATCCAACTGACCTTGTGAAGGTTCGACTTCAAGCTGAAGGAAAATTACCAGCTGGAGTTCCTAAGCGATATACTGGATCCTTAGATGCTTATTCTACTATAGTTAGACAGGTTATTTTCTTAACGTAGAACATTGTTTTTCTTCGTCCTGTTTTCTTAGATACATATCAGCTCATTTGTTTTACATTTTTTGGTTAATGTTTGTCTAACATTTAGGAAGGATTAGGGGCCCTTTGGACTGGGCTAGGGCCAAATGTAGCACGGAATGCTATTATAAATGCTGCTGAACTAGCCAGTTATGATCAAGTGAAGGAGGTAATCTCAAAACATTCCTTCTCTTAAATGCAGTTATATTTATGAATTTCAAGTTAATCTAACCTGCCATGTCTAGGATAATAATCCCAATGATTCCTGATTCTTCATACTTATGCAGACAATTTTGAAAATTCCAGGGTCCACAGACAATATTTTAACTCATCTCCTAGCTGGTCTGGGTGCAGGCTTCTTTGCAGTTTCTATTGGCTCTCCTGTTGATGTGGTATGCACTCTGCAACTAATTAGTTGTGACATCAAGTTTTGTGGTTTTTAGGATTGAATGCTACCGGCAGAGATGTAAGAAATGGTTGCAACATATGGAAACTACAACAGAACTGTAAAATTAAAACAAAATTTAAAGAAAAGTAATCAAATGATAAATCTCTCTCTCTCTCTCTCTCTCTCTCATGTGTAGTGTCTTGTAAAGAATAGTTATAAAACTGAAGAATATTGAAAATCATATGATAAATGTGCATGCTATATTCCAACCTAACAAAGAAAAACAGAATTGATAAGCGCACGCTATATGTGTTCTTGAGTTTTAAGTCATCACTGAATGTTGGCTTTGCGATGGAAGCATGGCCTGCATTACATATTATTCGGTGCAGGCTGTAACCACGGTTTACTAGTGAAAGATTGTGATGACATTTTCTTATTGTACGAAACAATTTTATATAGTTTTTTAGTGGATGAGCTAGTAAGGCAATGTTGGCTTGGACGACTTCCTTGTTATGTTCCAGGTGAAATCTCGAATGATGGGAGATTCAACTTACAAAAACACCTTTGATTGCTTTGTCAAAACTTTGAAGTACGAGGTATGCTTTTTCAGTTTTAATTCGTAAGTGCACTCTGGTTCTGTAAGTCATTAGACTAATAACCCTTCAAAGTTTTTTATACCAACGAGGCCAAATTTCTACATGGATTTTTGTCACCAGCTTCCTCAATTGTTTTGTAATTCATGACGTACTGCAGGGATTTTTGGCCTTCTATAAGGGGTTCCTCCCAAACTTCAGTCGGCTAGGATCTTGGAATGTGGTTATGTTTCTAGTGCTAGAGCAAGTAAGATTGAATTGATAGGGTCTCTTCAATTGCGTAGGTGTTTCATGTTCGAATCTGCTAACTTGTCCATTGTAATGATGCCCTTTTGCTCATGTATGATCTCCATGGCAGGCGAAGAACGTTTTCCGGGTATGAATATGCTCGTCTGATTTCAGTCACCACAAAGCACGAAGACACAGCTTTTGCTTTGGAATGGCCCTCTTCGATTGTTAAAGATTCATTTTTCCCCCCAAATTTCTTCTAGGCATAAAATCCTTATATTTTTGTATGATTGGAGAGTTCGAAAGGGAGACACATATCATTGTACCCTTCTTCCTTCAGCTATACTGGACAATTATATAAAGGACGATCCCAAGCCAACAAGGTTCCCCACATTGTGAGTTCGGAGGAGGAACATTTATCGTACGCAGTCTTACTCTTGTTTTGCAAAGAGGTTTCCACGACTTGAACCCGAAAAAGGTCACTAAAGAGCAACTTTTCTGTTGCGCCAAGTCCCACCCTCATACTGAACAATTATATAAATATTATTATTATTTTCGCATTGCCATTTGAAATTTAATATACCAAATAATTATTTTTCTTGTGGCATCAGCTAAGTAGGGATGTTGTTGATTGCACTGCCAAAAACGTTTTATATGATTTGAGTAATCCTATAGACCCTCGTTTAAATAACGTTTTAGAGGAAGTGAATGATATGAATTGTGCATAAGCTCTTCTCTTTGGATAGAAATTTGCATCCACAAGTTAAATTAGAAATTTCTGGTTTCACCTGATTTTTATTTTTTTTCAACTTTGGAACACCTGAATCTAAAAAGTTCAAATGAATAAAAGGAATGGAATTGAAGGATTGCATTAAATATTTACATAAATTATATCTGACCGTTAGATAATGATTATATAAAATATGTGCAAGTATCATACTCATTCTTCAGAATTAAATTGCATCTTAAAATGTTCAAAATTTAATCTGAACTGATCGCTGGTTTGAATCAACTTCACAATATCTCTTATAATCTTAACGGATCATTTTTAAGGTATCATTAAGAGATCATCCTTATGAAAATTTACCGAAATCAAAGATTATTTAGTTATCTAACTATGACACGACACGGTAATAGAAGAATACAATATTGTCCGCAATTAAAAGATTTTCAAATTTGATAAAAGAGCGATTTATGTTTAAATGAAACAGTGCAATAACAGTTACACATGCTACATAGCAGGCAGTGACACATCTCAACACCAGAGAACTAGAGTCTAGTAACATTAGCCACGCTATTCACTAGAGACCTAAGCCTTAAGCCCACCACATTAACGACTTTAATTCCTATTTATCAGATAAACCCTAGCCTTAATAACTGATCCATTCCCAAGCTTAAACCCGGGACACACCGGAAACCCGACAACCTGACCCGCCGGAACCCGCCCGCCCGCAAACGTCACAACACTCTCCATATAACCCGGATGAAACTCCGCCCCTCGACTCGCCTCGAACTGACTCGGCGGCGGGTCAAGCGAAAACGCCAGCAAGTGCAGCAGCCACACCGCCTTCGCCAGCCCCAGAAACTCCCCGTAAAACTCGCTCCTCGGGTGCCCCCCTTCTACGACATGTCGTCTCTGCTCCAAGTCCCCGAACAACGACTCCTCCATCTTGGGATGGACGACGGCCAGGTACTTGATGGAGCAGAACTTCCCGAACTGACACGTGGGCAGGATCCCGAGCAGCTCGGTGGGGTCCATGGCCTTGAAGTCGCGGTACCGGGCGAAGCAGTCGCGGCGGTGCTGGTCTGGGTTGAGCAGCGACGAGAGGCTGCCGTCCATGTAGAACGTCTCGTGATCGAAGCCCTGGAAGAGCTTCCTCGAAATGTAGGACTGCAGCGCGTACTTGGCGTTGCCGTTCTGCGTTGCGATGACCGACGATGTCGTGTTGATCCCGCCGGTGGTGGCGGTGGCGGCTTCGATTGATCGCACAGCGGCGGCGATGTCCCAGTGGGCCGCGCGCATGAGGGAGAGGAGCAGCGACGTGAACGACTTGGATTTCTCTCTCACTTGGCTCATCGTCGCCTCGAACAGCTCCGGCGCCGGAGATACTGCAACTGTAATTAGCAATCGGTTAGGGGGGCAGAATTGTCACTTCGTAGGGTAAGACAGTTAGGAGAGAGATTTTACTGTGTACCTTCGGCTAGAGTGATGCAGCCGACTTTTCTTCTGGACACGGACCTGCCCTTCTTCGAGTGGGACCCGTTAACGGCGCCGTTTAGCTTCTCCTTGAGGTTCTGGATCTCGACCTCTCTGGACTTCACCTCTCTCTTCAGCTCGTCCACTGCCGCTTCGTACGGAGCCACCACCTCCCTCAACATACTCCCCGCCATTACTCGCTCTCCGCCGCCGCTACAACGCCTTCTTCGGAACCTCTCTCTCAGTACCCCAATTTTTCTCAGCTCACCGACCACCGCCGCGTCAGCTGCCCTGAGCTTCTCCGGGTCCCACGGGATGTGGGCCTCTTGGAGGCTGACGTACGCCTTCTTCATCGCTGCAACGGCGTCGAACACCTCCCTCATTGCCATCTCCATCTCCACCACCTCCTTCGCCTTCGTCAACCCCCGATCCTCCCCAACCGTTACCCCTAAACCTCCCCCGTCAATCACTTCATCGTCTTCGTCTTCCTCCTTTCCGTCGTGCTTGTCGCCGGCTTCGTGCTCGTACATTTCGTCCTCCTCATCGCCGGCGCGTCGATTCACAGGTGAATCACAGGAATCGTACCGGCCGGCGGCGAGTGGATGGAGCAAGCAAGAAGCCGCCACTCGCTGAATCAGATCCGAGAAATTCGAAGCCCTTCCCGCCATTTTCTCCCCTTTCTTCTTTGCCTTCAGCACTTCTCAGCCTCTGAGAAAAACAAGATCAGATTCGCAGACCAGTGCTTTGAGTGAGGGGTGGGTGCGCAGGATAAGAAATTGTTACCACCGTTTAAGATAGCTTATTTAATTAATTAACTACTTAATTAAAAACGAAGCTGTATGAGACTGACCTATCGGACTCAGTGACAGTCGTGTTTGCTGAAGCTCCCCAACCGGCAACGGATCACCGTGGAGCGGAACGGCGAACAGGCTGTCCCGGCTGCCGTCGACGGCGACGATCTTCTTCTTTCTGAGTTACGGGAAAATTAACGGCGTTATTTAGTGTTAGGGCTTCAAAGGTGGAAGGTTATCACAGATTCAGAGTAAGGATACGACTGTGGAGTACGGGAAGGGGCACGTGCATGTGAAGAAAGTTGTCCCCTTACCATACACGTGTGCGATATTTCTATTTGTACGGTGAGGATTTGGAGGGACGGTTGACCATGAAAAAGTTGTGCTTTTCAATTTGATAGAGATGACTGGAACTGAATCATAGTGTCCAAAACAGGAAAAACAAAAATTAAGTTTGAAAAGGGATAAAATAAAAAAATTAAAAAAAACCGAGAGATTAGTTTTTTTATGTTTTATCACAAGCCAAATTATCGAAGGTTTTTTTCATGTTTCGTAGTATTGAATAATACAAGCCATAGGTGGTCTGAATTTGTTTGAATTGTTACTTTTATTATGGTCGTGTGAATCCAGGTTATCCAATGTTCGCATCATTTAATGTTGCGTTACTTGCGTAGCATGAAAGTTAAATTCTAAATTATCATTTTAAATTACATTATGGAAAAGAGAAGGGGGTTTAAACTCTATATATAATGCGTTAATTTTTGTGGAAAAATCATTTTTCATTAGGCGCTTATAAAATGTTTGAAAACTGTTTTTTTTATTATTGTTTTTTAGTTTTAAAAGTACTTGAAGCGTTTTTGAAGATTTTGTTTCATTTTTACCAAAAATCCAAAAATCTTTTCATCAAAAACTTTTTAAGTCATTTTAAAATCACTTTAAAACGAACTCCACCATCTCTTATTAACGTTATGATTTGTTAAAAAAAAAAAAAAACACTTCTACAGTAGCCCGTACTTGAGCAAGATTTGCTCACTGCTAAGTTCAAAATTGTATTAGTTGTTAAATTAGTTTGATTTTTAAGACAATTTTAGCTGGTAGATTAAATGAAACTCGCCTAATAATACATAACGAAAATGATTAATGCATGCCATTTTCTCCTCTTGCACAACTGCATTTTTTTTAGGAAAACTAATGAAAAGGAATTTAAAACTTTGAGTTTTAATGATAAGAACAAAATAAATGGTAAAGTGAATAGTACCAATATTGACTTTTTAGTGTAAAAATGTGATTTTTCGTTAAAGTGAACAGTACCGTAGGTTTTTCGTTAAAACTCCTTTTTTTTTTCTTCTAGCTTTTGGTTTAAATAAACCAAAAAGGAATCAAATGACACTTTGAAATGCAGCCCAAAAGTTCTCAAGTCTCTCCTTGCATCACTAAGAGAAAATTTTAGCTATGTTGCTCGATAAATTTCAATTTAGTTTGGAGCCCTCCTAAACTTATAAAATGGCTAATTTCTCACTTATGGTCAAATTTTCAGTCGTTCGTGGCACATTTGCCAATACAAAATCTAGAAAAATAATGTGACATATTTGATTGGAAGACAATTTGAAAGAAGATTAAAGCATCTCCAATGGAGACCTTAAATGGAGTCCCTATAACCGTATAGTCCTTAAATATAGGGACAAATGATTTTCAATGTGCCGGAATTGAAATTTTCAAAGTATATGAATACATAGAAACTCGCTGGATACCTCATAAGAATTCTCAAATATAAGGACTACATAAATGGACTCAAATAGTGGACTCCATATTAATTTTAAGTGGGAATGGTGCTGCTCTTTATGTTTTTTTTCCTTGTTTTTTGAACCTATACCTGTAAACTAGTTGGGTTTATCGGGTTTGGGTCAGGTTAAATCTAACCCGTTAAGCAAACAGGTCACTCGAACCCAACCCATTAAGCTAACGGATCACCTGTTTCACCGGTTAACATATTTTTTTTTTATTTGGCATTCCAATACAGTTACACATGTTAACTGCAAGGATGTATAAAAGGGTGCTAATAATGAAAAATGGACTTGGATATATAGTAAACAAACAAGGAGCTACGACTTGGATTTCTCCTCCGTTTGGTTCTGGAACTCTTCCTTAAGGTGGAGAGGTCGAGGGTGAGTTCGTGGAAGCTGTTTGCTAGATACTCGGTCTGGAGGAGGAGCCACATCCGGCTGCTGTTGGAGGAGTCTTCAAGACGGGTTTGGATCCTCTGGAGCAGAGGATGGCAGAATGGGAGAACACGGCGGTGGAGCTGCGAATGATGTCTTCAAAGGGGATGGATACAGACTGAGGGATGAGATTTCTCGGGAGAGATGGTGGAAGGAGCGGAGGATGGTCTGGTTGGAGAGCTTGGGCAATATGAAGGCCCCTGCTGAGGGCCTGCATTCTTGTGGCGGAAATGCTTATGGAGATATTGCCATGAACTAATCAAATGAATGAATCAATGAAGCAGTAGATTATTTATCGATGATGAAAAAAAAAGATAGGAAAATAGAAAAAAGATAAGGTGTGGTTATAATTTATAATGAGTGCTAAAGAATTGACCCAAAATGACCTATTATTTAACGGGTTCACCCTTTAGCGACCCGACATGTTAAGCATCCACCAAAATACTAATATTAACGGGTTAGGTCCAAAATGCCAGTTCTATTCGAACCCGCCCAGGTGGGGCAACTTCTCATTTGACTTTTTTTTTCTTTTTTTTTTTTAATTCTTGAAAAATCAATGGTTACAATATTTCAATGAAATGAATAATAACTTTTTAATATTTTAGTCCCTATATTTAGGAATTATACTATAAGGAATTTTCATTGTAGACAATATTCTTTTAGGGACTTGAATATTCCTCTAAAACTCCTAAATGAGTCCTAAAAAATGGTGGTAGGACTCCCATTGGAGATGCTAAAGTTTCCCCCCTCTAGCTAAATTTATTATGTGATTAATAGTGAGTGCTAGTATGCCCATTTAGTGGCGGAGCCAATATTAGGGTATTAGCTGCTCATGACTCCAATAACTTCATAACCTTAATGTGTATTATTTGTGTATTTGTATACGACTCCTATACACAACTACAACAAATTGAAAAATTGAGTCAAAATACTAAATTTCAAACTGCTGCTTCTTTTGTGCAACCCCTTCTGTACAGTTACTTGTTAATTTTCTTCTCATTTCCTTTGTCGTTCTTCTTCTATTTCTTCTGTGCGACATTATGGTGCACAACAAGTGTTCAATAAAAAAACCTCACTCAATAGTCCTAAATAAAAATAGACAAAATGCAACATAACGTGGCAGATACTCACCATAAGTTCCATGAAATAATCCAATAAAGTTTTTTTGCCCAAAATTATGACCGGTGTGCCTATTTACCTGTCGTACTTTTTTACTCATCTTATATTGATTTGTCATTTATCTTTTTCGTATGGGGTCGGTGGGCATCACAACACTCTAATTTTTAAGCTAAAACCAAATGCATTTCTTCTTTTTTCTCCTTCCCAACTAATTTTTGTAGGACTCATAACTTCAGTTATAAAGCACTTTCAGATTCACGATAGAAGTTTAAACCTCTCATTTCTCAGTAAATTTAAGAGTGTGTGCGCGACAAATGTCGTTGAGTTGCAAGAATTCTTGCATTCATCTTGGCAATTTAAAGACTTAGATTGACTCACATTATCCTTGCACCATAAAACTTGTTCAAAGTATGCATAAAAATTGGGAGTGGATATCTCTTGAGCTTTTGAGAGATTTTTCAGTGTGTCCGAAAAACAGGTGATACACCATATGTAATTATACCATTGGAGGTACACTAAAAAATAAAAATAAAAACAAAAACTTTCCACTAGTTATGTGATAACATGTGGTATATCGTATCATATTCTGGACATACCGAAAAATCTCCCTTAAACCTCCCCCAGAAGTGACATAAAAGATCTAATGATCTAAGTTAAAGACAACGGGACCTCAAATGCTCAAAATCTAGAAGAAAAAATAGAAAATCCAACTTGAATTGTCACCTAACGATGCCAAGTAAGCAAGGGACAAATAGATAAGATCACTGAGATATTTCCCATCCTAGAAGTTGGATACTTTTGGGTCCAAAAATTTCCCACCACAATTTCTTCAAGTCACCAAGATAATTAGGTAAGCAAAAATATCTCCCTCTTTAATATAAAACCCAATCAAACAGAAAGAAAAGTTTGTAGGAAAATACAGAAGAGATTAGAGAAGAAGAAGAAGAAAAATGGAGTGCTGTGGGAGGCCAAACAGGAGTGACGCTCATTTGTCGAGAGAGGAAGAGGCAGAGATCGAGTCGAAGACGAGAGAGTACTTCGATGGAGTGACTCCCAAGCATCACTCCAAACCTCAACGCAGTGAGTATTCATCAAAGTATGTGGACGATTTGAAAAATAATGATGAAATTCCCGAACTTGTTGAGTTCCACCGTCTCGAAAGCGATTCTCAGGTTGGTTTTGCAATGAACTTTTAAGTTCACTAATTGTTACAATTTAACGATAGTCATTTAGCACCATACCTTTTTTCTCACAATTAGTTCGTAAGATGCATGCGTAAAGTCACTTAAGAGCTACTTGTGTCAAAACGAAGCTATATTTTTGCAATAATTTTGTTTGGACAAAAAAACTAATACATTACCTAATAATACAAGATTAGGGCAAAAAAATTAAAAAAAGAAAGAGAGTAAAATGCGTTTGCCGGGAGTCGAACCCGGGTCTATTGCTTGGAAGGCAATTATCCTAACCGTTGGACTACAAAAGCTTGCTTGTTGAATTCATTTTCTTTAATAAATTATTTTTTGTTTGAGCAGAAGATACTGGTGCACGGAAGTGAGGTTGGTGAGGAGTTTGTGGAGACAGACTACTACAAGGACCTGAACGATACTGACAAGCAGCACCACACCACGGGAACTGGGTTCATCAAAATGCCCAACAAAAGCGACAACCGCTACAGTTTGGCGCCGGATTCCGACACCGACGTCCATGCCTCTGGCCAGTGCAACCCAGCAACTAATGACTGGATCCCAGATGCTTCTGCTGCCAATACAGTATATTCAGTTTAACCCCCCGCACGTTTTTACCAATTAACTGTTATTAGCACTCAGAACTAGTCCGTCACTCGTTATTTGTTTTATGATAACGAAAATGTGTACTTGTATATGAAAGAGTGCAAAATGACTTTCTATGAAGCGCGGATGACAGTTAGTCAACTAACCAATTTGCATTTGTTGGTGGTCTAACTCAATCGTGTGTTTGCTTTTTGTTCCAGGTGGCTTTTGATTCAGGCAAGCCAAGGAGAGGTGACAATTAAGATGGATGGGACTGGGAGTGCGTTAATGTAGCAGATTTTAAGTCTGTATGATAATATTATTGTGAATTTGCAATTTGGGGTTTTCACTTTTCAGTGTTGCCAATAAGTACATCACTATTTCTCATTCATTGGTAGTATGCTCCTTCTATAGAGGAAGTTCAATATTTGTTTTCAACTTATGAGCAAAACAAATGTTCGCGAATGTGGGTTAGGCCAAGTGATCAGGGTATGTGCCCACCTACTTACAGGCGTGTCTGAATAAATAAAGTTCGTTCCAAAACGGCACAGAAACATTTAGCACAAGCAAAACAAAGAAAATCTCACTTGTTAATTCCCTGTCTGAACTAAAATTGCACATTGATGTCCTGCTTTAGGTCTACAGCATCTGGAACTGTTATCAGAACGAATCAGTTAAGGTATAAAACAAATTCGATGACCGGACATTGAGAACTTTGCGGAAATTGAGATGTGGAACAGGGGGGAATTAATTTACAATTAAACAAACGGTTATGTCTGCTTCTCCAGATCCTCCTATTCAGTACTTAACAGGGATGAAGTGGAGAGGTGTACCTTCAAGTTGAGAAGCAGTTAAACTCCGGTGACGTATAAGCTAGCTGCAAATACAATGTCGCGCTTTATTGCATTTGAAGCTGTTACCATTTTCTTGTACAGAGCAGAATTACCCATAATCGATGCAGCATTTTTGAACTCACGACACGTCTCATCAAGTCTGACAATGGTTCGCACTATCATTCCTTCAGCAACATCTGTAAGTTCACAAATGTCTGCAAACGGAGTGCCCTGCAATAACAAGGGGATGTAAGACCAATCACTCAAAATCATAGGAAGAGTTGATGAAATTCTCAGATAAATACCTTCGCCCACTCATAAACGACTTCAACAAGACCAAACTTGAGATTCTCTCGAGCGTACTCCTCTGGATTTATTTGAAGTTTGAAGTGGGATTGAAGCTGGCCAAGTCTTATTGCTGTATCGTACAACCTGAAATGAATAATTATATAAATTGAGTTTACTCTGGAACGGGAACAAGATTTGTTCTTTTTCTTTGTCCGAGTGCACTTAAACTAGGAGGATAATACAGAGAACAATTTTGATGGAAATTATGGTATGTGCAGCATGATGTAACAAAAGTTTTGATTATCAGCACCCAAGCCAGCACTCCATAAGCATCTCATATCTGATAACAAGTATGTGCTCAGAGACACCGAGAAGTAAAAATTCTATGTACCAAATCCGGCCAGACCTACTGGTCGATTGCAGCCTCTAAATGTAAGCATAAAGTAGACTACCCAAATCCTTGTATTAAACACGATATTTAAGCATGCAATTTGGCACAGAGAAGAAAGTTTTGTATGCAGATGATGGGAGTGAATGACCTCTGTTTGGCCTGAGACAGTTTTGGAGTAAGAGAAGGTTCAGAAGTATTCTTCTGCTGAAACACAAAAGCAGACATCAACGCCACCGCTTCTTCTGGTTCCAGGTCATCCAGTTGGTTTTCAAACAAACACTCTGTGGCTATCAACTCCTCCCCAGAGTTCATTTCGCAAGCAACACGGCCTTTTATTTGAACCACAAGATCAGCATCGATACATCCAATTTCCTGCAGAACATCTATCTGAAAATACAAAGCTAAACTACTAAGATGAATCACAAGTGTTAAGACAATTATCACAAGCCACAAGCAACTAATAAATATCATGTGCATTGTAGAAATGTACCCGGCCTTGAAAGTCTGGCATTTGTTGAAGTGCTTCATCTGACATTTCAAACTTAAGAGCATCGACTTCCTCACTGTGTCTCTTTTTCTCTCTTGCTAACTTACTGTGCTCGTCCAACTTTATACATCCATGGCACTTATTCTTTGCCATCTTTTGCAATAAGTTAGTCCACTTGTAGTATGTTGCCACGAGATTCACATCTGTCAACTTCAGATCTGAATCAGAGTCACCACCATGAAAGTCAGCTTTAAGAGCGAGTTCAGCTTTAACAATTCTCAATTTATCCCAAGTGTTGGGCACATTTTAACAATTAATGAGAACATGCAAGCTATTATGTAAGTAGGCTAGAAGGCTTTCTCAACAATTAAATTTTGAACCTAACAGAAACAACTGAACAGAAAGGAGAAAGAAAAGGGGACAAACGAATATCAAATCAAGGAGTGAATTCAAATTTCCAACAGCACAAAAATCAACCAAAGAAGGCATGCATCGCAACTCTATAGTTGCACTGTTGCATTAAGGTGTATATTTATCTGGGATTGAAGGGAATTCTGTAATGATACAACTGTACTTGCCCAGAATCTTGTTTCTTATTTGGAATTTGAATTGACAGATAGATCTACCTGTACGTGGATCCAAGGCTGGAGGGTACTTATTTTCGTCGGATTTTGTGTCCAACAGCTGTTGAACTGTCTTGGAGTAAGCAGCACTGCTATTGTCTTCAAGAAGCCCAACTTGATCAATTTTTATCTTGCAATTGCATATGCATAGAAAATCTTTGATGTCGACTTCTTTAACCTCAAAGCTCACCCCAGCAGCAGAACCCTGGCGTGGTAATTTTATGTTGATGACACCCTTTCCTTTCCGAGTTTTGACACCAGAACAATAATCTTCATCAAGACCACGTTTAGATTTTGGTGCCACAAAAAACCCTTGTCGAAAGTCCGTGCTTTTGCTGTCTTGCAAGTTACCACTACCCAGTGGAGTCTGCGGCGGTGGTTCAGGTTTCAGCACCAAAACAATATATTGTTTATTAGTAGCACTAGGTGCTTTCACGACGACTCCAAGCAAGTGGTCCCGCTCCTGTTGGTAAAGCATGATATACAGTATTAGCATACCCATAATATTTGGAATTTGAGTTATTTTTTTATAGATATAAATCAGATGCCAGCATAATATCAGTAACCACAAATCACGTAAAGAATCACCAAAAGTCATGCAGGAAAAGAATCATATCTAGCAGTTAGTAACACATATTGCTACAGCATGTTCACTGCATAATAACACTAATCAGAAGAGCAATACTACAATTTGATCCTGAGGGAGGGCAAGGACGGGGAACTTAATATAAAAAAACAAATGGTTTAGGATATGACTGGAATAAATGTGTAACTATGTAAGGAACTCACTGACTGTGATTTCATGACTACCACTCTCCCAGTTGTAAGAAATTGTTGGGCAACAGGAGACTGCATAACTGCCTCCAATATTTCCGTGTTATGATTCTCAGCTTCCAAGTGGATGTCATAATACTCCTCAATAGCTGGTTCACCTTTTATACATCTACATGCAAAGTAACCATGCAACACAAAGGTTTGTATGTGATGAAAGGCTAAAAATAACATCAAAAAATAAATTGCAGTACAGCATCTAATTTGCTCACATTTCATTGATATTAGTATCATAGAGATTCCCACATTACACATCTACTAAACTGATCAACAAGGACAACCCACCGGCCATTGTTTAAAAAAAATCAATTTTTTTTTTATATCATTCATAAATGCTAATATGCTGCTACAAGTATACAAATTAAATTATTATACAAGTCCATAAACTTACTCGATAGTTTTTGTAGCCTGAGCAAGCTTTCGCATCAGAAGTTGCTGCTGTTCTGGTAGTTTCTTCTGAGCATGGAACTCAGCAAAACTTCTTTTCAGCATGTCCTCCACCTGCAGTGACAGTCCCAACCAATATTATTAAAATGGAGTTACTTACACTGCAGAGCTAAAACCTTTACTTACGATATGAAAAGCAGACTTGTATTCTTCATAAACACAGAATAACTTAAAAGGAAAAATCGATGTGAGTTGATAGAATACTGTGAGACTCAGTTTAACATGCAGAAGCCATTCCTTTATCCAATATACCCAAGATTGTTATATTTTAAGTGCAGACCAAGCTAAAACCTTACGGACTTATGATATGAAAAGAAGACTTGTATTCTCCATAAATAAAGAATTAACTAAAAGGAACAATCATTATAACTTTATGAAAAATCAGCTTTTGCTGATAGAATACTGTGAGAATGAGATTAAAATCCATAAGCTATTCCTTCACCCAGTGGGGCCATGATGGGAATTACTTTAAATGCAGCCTGAGCAGCACCTAACGGGTTTTCTTTCCCCTCCTAGTGAGCCTCGTTGAAATATTACTGATTCTGGGCCACTCTATTTACAAGAGGCATATATTGGTTATACCATAAGATGCAGACATTATATTTAGCTCCTAGAATTTGGGATGTTAATTCAATTTTGGTAAAATGCTGATCTGCAATCCTTTTCCCTTCCTGATTTGTATGAAAGAAGTAACTAGGTACCTTCAGTTCCTCAACACGAAGGAGATGCAGGATCATAATATAGGTAAGCCGAAACTGAGATTCAAGTCTGGTTGCACTTCCAACTATGACATGCTTCAAATCACTCTCTCCTAGGATTTCATCACGGCACATTACAATAACTGTACCAATTTTATCAAGTCCTCTTCTGCCAGCACGGCCTGCCATTTGAGTGTATTCTCCTGGAAGTAATTGTCTAAATTCCTTGCCATCAAATTTCCTTAATGTATCAAAAACAACCTGCAAAACCCTTAAAGAATGTTAGAATGCAACCAACACAGAGCAAACGTGTATAAAGATGCCCAGTCGGTTGTCACTAACCCACTTGTAAATTTACAAGATATTCTATTGGCAAATCAGAAATGTTTGTCAAAATTGAAGTTTCATCAATACAAACAAACCACAACTAGTACAGGACATGAAGTGGCTCTGCAGAAAATTATACTCTAGTTAGGTGTCAGAGACTATGTTCTTTCTTGTTTTAATGAAATACTGATTAATGGAACATAAAAGTATAGAACTCAAGTATGAAGTCAAAACCATCAAGCGAATCAGTTTAATGTTGGAATTGAATTAACGAGACTTCTACATGACCACGTTATAAGATGTCAAAGTAGAAGATCTTACAGGAGCAGCCTCAAATGATGGAAATAATTAGTTCAGTCAACAGATTTGCAAACACTTGTGCCAACAGGACTATTTCTAAACTTGTACGACTATTTCTTTGAAGTTTTTTAAGATTGATTGATGTTAATCAATTCAAAATTA